TCATCATCATTATCAACATAGGACCAGGCATTACTGCGTAACGGTCCGAGTTGCCACACCTCACGTCAGCATCAAGTAAAAAGGTAGTGAGGTGAAGGATGAAGATAAGTGAATGCAGTCAAAAGAAATATAAAGTACGAGAAGAAAGGAAAGAGGAGTGACAAAATAGTGAGATTCGGTATAGCGTTGTTAAGATGAGGATAATGTGTGTATACATCTGCGCCACTGACTTCGGTTCTGAGCCATATCACCTAGGGTCTCCAACCACTGGTTCCTCTTGTCCCGTGGACCCCAACCACCTAGTCTGCATCGTCCTACATGGCTTAAACCAACAGTCAGAGACTTCATACATTGGTGCCATGTTTTAGTCTGGCCACCTCGGGCCTTTTTCCAGCCTGAACCCACCTCAGCCAACATTGTGTGACGAGGCAATCGGTGACTAGGCATACGTAGTACGTGTCCCAACCATCTCAGTCGATGAAGGTTCACAACCTCGTCGACTGACTTACCTCTTCTCCCTAAAACTCTACACCTAACTTCTGCATTACTCACATGGTGACACCACGGAATACGTCCTATACTACGAAGGCAACGGTGGTCAAACACCTGAACCTTTCATGTCTTCCACTTTCAATGGCCATGTTTCACAGCCATACAGTAGAACAGAGCGGACTGCTGTGCAGTAGACAAACGAATATCACGGCGGCGCCATAGGTGGCGCAAATTGGCAAAAGCCAATCGAGCCTTTTGTATCCGTGCAGAAATCTCATCGGCAACTAACCCACCGGGTTGATCCTACTTCCCAGGTAAGTGAAGTGGTCAACACACTCAACCACTTCACTCTCTATTGTTAACCGCGGTACCGCTGAAGACCAGTCCTGGAGCAAAAATTTGCATTTGGGTGGTGAAAATCGCATCCCAAACATTCTCAAATTCCCACTCAAAGTGTTCAGAAGACTCTGCATCTTGTCAGCGTCTTCACCTAACAGGACTATGTCATCTGCATATTCTAGATCTAAGGAAAATTCACCTGTGATCGGGTCAACGTCTTTGTAATTAGGTGACGAGAGGGAAACCTCCATAAGAATATCTATGATAAAATTAAATAAGAATGGGGATAGTGGGCATCCTTGACGGACACCACTTGATGAGTATAGCTCCCTGGACAACTCACCATAGGCTCTAACATGCCCACAAGTGTTCGAGTAGAGAGCTTTCAATAAGGTGATGTACTTACTAGGCACGCCTTTCAGTGACAGACACTGCCATAAGACTTCTCGATCAACGGAGTCAAATGCCGCCTTCAGGTCGAGAAATACAGCTATTGTCGGGCGTCTGTAAGCATGCCTATGTTCCAGGACCTGGCGCAGTGTGAATATTTGGTCGATACATCCACGGCCAGGTCTAAAGCCTGCCTGGTTTTCTCGGGCTTGCTGTTCCCGAGCTCCACTCAGGCGTCGGAGAATTATAGAACTTAGGATCTTAGACACTATGTTTCAGGCTGATTCCTCTGTGGTTATCACAAGAGGACTTCTCGCCTTTCTTGAAGACTGGGATGATCAGTGACTTAGACCAGTCGGAGGGGATCGTATTTGATTCCCATATACTGGCTAACACTTCCGTTAGCCTGACTAAGAGAACTCTACCACCATTCTTGTATACCTCAGCAGGTAGTCCGTCTGGTCCTGCTGCCCTTCCCGTTTCAGGCTACCTACCGCTTTCTCAACTTCTTCTAGTGTTGGGGGACCTGTCTCTATGTCCCATTCAGGGTCCGACTGGATAGCGGGCAGCGCAATGGTGGCTGGAGGCCAGTTAAACTGTTCCTCAAAGTGTTCTGCCCATCGTCCCAGTCGCCTTCCCTGCGAGTGAATCGCCGATCCGTCCTTCTCCGCTATAACCTCACTAACTGTTGTTGACCATTTCCCCCCAGTCTCCTTAATAAGTCTAAATAACTGTCTACTGTTACCGATCGCCGCTGCCTTTTCCATCTCTTTAGCCTTTGCTGCCCACCACTGTTCACGATCGTTGCGCAGACTTTTCGTCAGTTATTTTTAAGTTGCGCTCGCTCTTCATTGTACTCAGAGCCTGCAGGGATGCATTCACGTGCATCCATTAGTTTGGAAGAAGCTGCTGATATCCACTGGCTCTTTTTAGCCATTATCTTGGAGTCGGCTACAGTCTCCAGTGCTGCTTTTACAGTAGACTGAAGATGGCACCAAGCTTCTTCTGGATGAGTGACAGTCTTTTGTTCCGATAACTGCCTAGCCAACTTCTCACTGAACACGGCTTTGGTGTTTTCGTTGTCCAGCAGAACTCGTAGTGGTTTTGTTGCCAAATTTTTTCTACGTCCATTGAGACGCAGGCATATACGTGCTCGGACCAACGCATGATCGCTGTCCAAACACGGCAGTCTTCCACCGATCCTCTCCAGCGATGACTAATAGCAATGTGGTCTATCTGTGTCCATCGCTGAGTCGAGCTCGGTGGACGCCAGGTCAGACAGTGCCTTTCTTTATGTCTGAAATTTGTGCTGGCTAAAAATAGGCGGTTATCTGAGCATAGTTGTAATAGGCGATCACCGTTATCTGTACGTTCAGCTGGGATTCCGAAAGTGCCACCTAAGTGCCTTTCTGCCTCACTCAGTCTACCCACCTGTGCGTTGAGGTCACCTGCAACAACCACTACGTCCGAACGTTTGGCTTTCGAGAGGAGGTTAGACAGTTTATGGTAGAACTCGTCCTTCACTTCATCCGAACTACAGTCAGTGGGTGCGTAAGCAGAGATTACAAAGAGACAACGGCGAGTCTCACTATTCCTTTTAGTTCTCACTGTGCCGTTCAGCCTCATAGCGCAGAGGCGACTATCAACTGGGATCCAGTCTAGTAGTGAGTTTTCTGCCCTGGTGCTTAATGCTATACCTACACCTGCAAGACCACGAGAGCTAGCTATCGAATCTCCAGAAACTCGAAGGGTGAATTTTGCAGATTCACCAGATTGGTCAGGAGAGGTCAGGTGAATAACCACACTTGGGTCCTGTATGCGTGTCTCACAAACACAGCACACATCCATGCCCGAGTTGCTAGAGTCTTTGCCAACGAAGCCTGTTGGCCAATTTGACGGAGGGTGCGGACATTGAAGGCTCCAATATGTAATTTGGAGCGTGGTTTAAGGAGACCAGGGATGCTGTTCTGTGGACTCAGATCGTTGTCGAAGGCTGCAGAGGTAGGAGAAATTGAAGATGATGCAGCATCATTAATTAAGAGACGTGAAGGAAGATTAGAAGGTAATGATGGAGGAGGAGGATAGCAGTCAGAAGAAACTTGGGTGCTGACAGAGTTGTGAGGGCGGTTGACACTTCCCGGCTGCCCACACCGTGGAAGGCTATTTCTTCTTAAGGTACCTGAAAGAGATTTGTGTGACCGCAGAGCCCATCGGACATCTGCTTGAGGCCTGTCACACGAAGTTTTTGAGTATGATTATTATTATCATTAGTTTTTAAATTTCCACTCATGTCATAAACCTTTTTCTACTTTGATATCACTGTTTTTTATCCATTTGTTGTTTGCATGCTACACTGAAGTTTGACAACTTGAATCGGTGAACCTATGTGCAAGGTTCTTTTTATATCTTGCTTGTCTATCCTTTAATGTTTTAATGATAGAGGAAGCCATCCAAGGATATCGATGGTTGCAAATTAGTTCCAACTTACATTGATTCAACAGTATCTACTTTTATATTCCTTCCACCAGAAAGCTCAGTTGTTCATTGATATCAATCACTGTATTTCATAAAAACTGTGTAGAGAAGTTTGTAGGGTTGGAAAATTTTTTCATTCCCTAGTGTCTCCTTTTTCAGTAAATACTCTACAGCCTACCAAAGGAGCCATCCAGAAAAACTTCCAGGTACTACCATTCTCTAAGGCACTCAGAAAACACAACTCCCTTCAACCGTTTTTTGAGATGCAGTTGTAACTATAACAGGTGATTTCCAGAATTCATAAATAGGATATGGTTAGATGAATGTCCTTTAACTTTTCACTGAGTTTACTTATCGTCCCCATCTTTAAAAAATTATCAGAATGAGTGTAGCATGCTTAAGTAATCGGCGTATTAGTTTATCACTTGCGTCTAGAATGCTGGCATTTTTAGTTCTGTGCAGATTAATGCGTAGTAGATTTGTGCGCAAGAAGTATGGCTAACTGTGCACAGGTTTGTAGACGTTTCGTCCGTATTTTCACTTTTCACTGAGTCTGGACACAACTTGGTATTTCTTTTGACGTTTGGTTAGTAGTCGGTTCGTTAAGCAAGATTGCTCCCATGTTGTCCGGAAAGTTTTTTATCGTCTACCTTGCTCTATATGCTGATATCAGGTACGGTGACAGCGCACCATCTCTTTTCATTATTTTTGACGAGTGATTAGTTTAGACAGGGTTGCCAAATTTCGCCATTCCTCTTCAACTTTACTGTCACTAGCATTCTGGAGAAAAACTTGCAAGAGATATGGTACTGTTAATTATCTGCTGCCTGGATAATATACATCTCATGACGCCATAAAATATGGAGTATTCGCACTCACTTGATCATTTGACGAATAGTGTTTGTAAGTATAGTGTGTGATTTGTGCTATCAAAATGCTATCAACCTGAGTTTATATCTACAGTACCCTTGTAGTTGAGTTGTAATCGAAAAGTTGGTGTATCTGCGTTTTTTTATGGGTGTTTCTGATGAGCTGATGGATGCAACTGGTCTTCATGTACGTAATACTAGAGTGAAAAACTCCAGTCTGAGTCATTTTTGGGACGACTGTGACGTACTTTGCTGAAGATCGTTATAAAACATGAATTCAGTGCCTTCAAAAATCTTATCACTAAAGTTTTTCGAATTTTCCAAAGTGCTCTCGAAAATCGAGTTTTATAAAACCTTTATGAATGTTTATTAAATAGTGCTTTTTTTTAGCCTAAATACCATAAATAATTAGTTTTGTCGTGATTACTTTAACAGTGCTTCATCACGGTAAAGTCAGCCAGCTTATCAACAGAGAAACAGATTGTTCATTGGTAATTTCAGCCAAGTCACAACCGTTGCGTCAAAACGATTTGAACTCAACATCGAGTATTGATAGTGGTTATATTAGCGTACACACTGAATCAATTCTTGAACAAACCAAACTTACAGCTAACTCACTAACTCAGTCATCCCCATGTCTAAAGCCGTTGGATTTAAAGCAGTCACCGGTATCCAAACGCCCTCGTTGTGATGGATCTGAAATAACACAAACAGAAACATTGGTTGTAGATGTTGAGGATTCAGAAGTTGACAGACGACCGTTCAAATCCAAGGTAAGTACTATGTATTTTGCAGCTTTTAAGTGAGTATCCACCTTTTTAATAGTGACAAATATTCGCAACTTGACTTCTTATTTATACTTATTACAAGTGATATGTTTAATTCCTTAGCATTTCTTCGTATCTTGGTTTTGCCCATGTGTTATGACCGTTCACAACAGTCATAGAGGAGAAAACTTGAGTAGTTCTAGCTGTTGTGATTTTTTAGTTGTGTGTGGTTTGAAATGTGGCTTTCGTCTTACAGCAGTGGGGATCTAGCCACTTTGGCTTAGCAAACGGGTAGTATAATAAACCCCCACACAAAGTATGGCACATTGCTTAGCATATCAACACCTACTCTGGGGTGCTATAAGTTAATTAATATGTGGTCATAGCTGCAGAATATTCATAGTATCTGTTTTTCGGTGAAAACATGATGGTAGTGTGTAAGAAGTAAACTGCTAAGTCACTTTTCGCATTTACTTTATTACCTACTTACTTTTTTGCACAACTTGCAGCTGGCATGTGATATTGTTCGGGCTGCATTTGCTGATCGTGTTCAGTTGGAAGAACTTTTAGCCGAATGTAGAAGAGCTGACTTCGCCATATCTGCACTAGACCGCTCCCCGGTCGATCGTATGATGGAAGCTACGGATTACATTGTTGGCATAATGGCTTATGAACAGACAAGAGAAACTAAAGTAAGATAACGTATATCCATTCCTGTCATTAATTCTTATTGCAATCGTCTGTTTCTTACCATCATTATTATTTGTAAAAGCGAATTCGGAAAACCTCATCCGTGAGGTCATTTTCAGTTATGAATCATTGTAAGCTACAGTTTTTGAAAAGAAATAAAATAATCAGATGTTTGAATCGTTCCCGTAAACTGCAGTTCATTGTTCCCTTAGAGTAGAAAATAATTTCGAAGACGGTTTTCGTTAAGGTTCGATATTCATAAACCTGCCTCTCAATTTTGGGTAAGTGTTTTCTCTTGTTACGAAACCGCACGCCTCACGGACTACAGTTTCAAAATGATTTTGAGAAAATCTTCAATACAAACCAGACGGGCTAACATATCTTGGTTGGTTGTTGCTTCGGTTGTGTCTGCGGTTACACAAGTGTTGATAAACCGTTTTATCTTTATGTTAGGCATTTGAAGCAGTTAAAATGACCGGTTTATTCCAATGTTCGTTATTTTTCTGTCAAGGCAATAAACCGCTTGTGTAAATGCACACAATATGATTTCTCAAAAATTGGAATGTTGAGTTGGTTTTTGCAGTTATATATTGTTTATTGTGCTGGGTCATTTACGATTATTGATTTTGATGACTTATCACTTCCGTGTTATTACTAACCAACTAATAATCGTAATATAGAGTAACGTTTTTTTTCTTTTGATTTATCTCCCCATTGAAGTAGTAAAATATTCAGCCTATTGCCTAGTCACTGACTTCATTTCTTAGATGATTGGCAGTTTCTGTAAGCACTGATTGCTTAGACTTTTATAGAATAGTGGAACTTGATCGATGAGGTGGCGTGAAAATATGTTGGGCATGCTGAACCACTATCTTTCTCGACCTGAAATTTTCGCTGAAGTAGGATTGGGTTAGAATAAAGTCAAAACATGACACCAGTCCATGAATTCTTTGACTCTTGACCTGAGTCGTATAAACAGGTGCCGGTTGCCTGGTGGGGGAGTCTTCCGTATATCAGGAATCAATAGCTGGGGACGCTTGGTTACGGCTAAAATTTCACAATGGTGCAGGTGTATTCACTCCTATGCGTCTTCGAAACTTTAGGCATTTTCATTTACTTGCGTGTTTTAAAATTCTCCTATATATATTCGTTTACTTTGACATCAGTCTTTTTCTATCCACCTTTTTTTGCATGCTACTATGAAGTGTGGCAACTTTAAGTGATGCACTTGTGTAGGGGGTTCTTTTTTTCTGTCTTGCATACATTTTATTGTTTTATTTATTTGTCCCTCAGGTTCCTGTGAAACATAGGGCTTCAGTTGTACGCCACCATTGCACTCTGTTCTCTGTAGTTTTTTGAACCTGGCTCCACGACTGCCCACGAGCTTTTATTTACTTCCTCACATAATCCCCTCTCCTCGGACGCCCAACTCGTTGTTTCCTCTTCGGATTCCACTTGAAGGCCTGGCGTGGCACATATCCCCAAACGGTCTTCTCAGTGTATGTCCAATCCATCTCCACTTTCTTCTGCATATTTGTTGGGCTATTGGTTCTTTGATGGTTCGTTTCCAGAGTTCCTTGTTACTTATTCTTTCTGGCTATCTGATCTTCAGTATCGAGCGTAGGGGGCAGCTGTTGATGTATGTCTGCAGTTCCTTGGAAATGCTTTCTGTAACACGCCTAGTCTGATCCACATAGAAGCACTGACTTGACGTTAGTGTTGGTAATCCGGATCTTGTTCACGCTTTACCCTGAGTGGAGTGCAGTAGATCTCCACACTGATTCAAGATTAATGAAGGCCTGTCTTGATGTCTTCCCGATCCTGGCTTTGACACCCTCGTCTGTGCCGCCGCCTGTAGTTGAAACGACGCTGCCTAGTTTGGTAGGTGAAAGAGACAACTTCCTGTAGGTTCCTCCCGTTAATGGTGATTAGTGCCTCTTATTGTTGTTGATACTGTTGTTGTTTGGGTATCTTCATCACCTCTGTCTTCTCTACGTTCACTTGAAGTCCCGTTTTCACTGCCTCACCTCTTCTGCCAACTTGCCTGTAGATCTTCGAGCTTGTGCGACATTAGACATAAATACATCATTGGCGGCAAAATCGAAATCTTCTAGAGTCTTTTCATCGGTCAAACAGCGCATGCCCATCTTCTCACAGCTCCTCACAGTTTCTTGCATTATCCACGATCAGGAAGATCATCGGTGGCGACATTGTCTTACTCCTGTCTCCACTTCAATGGCATCACTAAGCTTTCCATTGTCAATTACTTGGCATGTGGCATCGACACATAGCTGTTGAATAGGGGTTGATGAAGGTTTGTGGTACTCTGTAGTGTTGAAGCAGTTGCCAAATTACTTCTCGATCGACGCTGTCGAAGGCCTTTTCAAAGTCGACGAAGTTGAGGTAGAGAGTTGTCTGGCATTCTATGCTGTTCTATGATGATGTGTAGCGTAACATTGCAATTTTATCCGCACATGATTTGTTCTTCCTGAAGCCAGCCTGTTCCAGTCGTAATTTTGAATTTTTGGATGATTCGCCTCAATATTTTGCTTCGCGTGGATAGGAATATGAGTCTGCACCAGTTCCTGCACAGACCTAGGTCGCCATTCTTTGGGAGTTTAACAAGGCAGTCCTTCCTCCAATCTACAGGTACCTTTCCCTTCCAAACCCTTTGCTATATTGATGTGAGCATGTTCGTTGCTGTTGTCTCTGTCTGTTTTCAGTACTTCTGGAAGAATTCCATCTGGCCATACTGCCTTCCCAGCTTTCAGCAACTTTATGGTGTTCAGGACTTCGGCTTTTGTCGTAGGTCTTGTGTTCACTGGTAGTTCTGCGGTTGCTGGTGATATTTCTGGACGAGTTGCAGGCGGCTGTGGTGGTAGCTGATTCAAGAGTTTTACGAACTGGTCAGCCCATCGTTTCCTTAGTTTATCCTTTTTCGTAACTAGGTTTCCTCCACTATCTTTCTTTGGTTTCATCTGTGTTGACCTCTCCCCAGATAGTATTTTGGTTATGTGATATAATGTTGTTGTCAGTTCTCTCCTACCTGCAGACTGTTCTGCTTCAGTTGCAAGTGTGTCGTGGAAGTGTCTTTTGTCTTTCCACACACTCTTCTTCACTTCATTGTCCAGTGTAGTGTTTTATAGGTCGTGTTCAGTCCGTCTTTTCGTTGTTTATCCATGCACTGCACTGGTTCATCTTCTGCTTCACCATCTTTCTCTCCCTGTTCTATCAGCTCCCATGTGTCTATGGAGATTCATTGCTTGTCTTCTTTTTTCTTCCTTCCTAGCACGGTTATGCGGGTTTCCTTCCACGTCTCTTCCAAAGAGTTCCAGTGTTCTTCTACACAGGTTTCCTCGGGGATGTCGCCAAATGTCTTCCATTGTGTCCTGATGACTGGCTGACGTGAAGATGTCCTTTGTGGTTTCATCCTTCAGTTTCTGTTCTGGGTGCTGAACTTGAACTGTGGTCTATCACCAGCTTCTGTGAAGGCTCCCAACTTGGTTTTGAAGACAGATATCTTACACTAGATGATGAGTGGTGTGAACCTACATCTGCTCCTCTTCTTGATCTGATCTGATCTTATGTCCAGTAGGCTCTCTACACTTTCTTGAGATTGCCATGAAATCGATCTTATTTTTAGTGTTTCCATCTGATGAAATCCAAGTCGCCTCGTGAATATCCTTGTGTCTGCACACTGCCTCTAATCAGCAAGTCGTTAAATGTGCAGTAGTCTGCAAACAGTTCTCCATTCTCGTTCATTTCACCCAGTGCTTCTCGACTCATGATGAGTTCTCTTCCTGTGTTGCCCTCACCCAGTTTGGCATTGATGTCACCCATTAGAATTTTGATGTCGCCGTTTGGTGTAGGTTCTTATCCATTACTGATTGCAGTTGTCTGTAGAATTCCTCCTTCTTCTCTTGATCTACATTATTTGGTGTGTTGCATAGTATTGTATGATTGCGACTTTCCTTCCTTTTGAGTTGAATCTTGCTGTCATGATCCTGATTCTGCAGGAGGAGATTGGTCCTCACTGCATGAGAACCTTTGATGCTGTTGGGGACATCATGATAGCCACTCCAACACTCAGTGTGCTAGTGATTGTCGTCTGGGTGACAATATAAGAGTAGATTATTGAGTCTCCAGTTGGGAGAGTCCACTTCTATTCCGTCTGCTCTTACAGATTCCCAGCACTTCTGTGCTGTACCTTCTCATCCCCTTTGCAATATGGTCAGCCTTGCTAGGTTCATACACGGTGTGGACATTCCATGTCCCCATTCTTACTTTTGCTTTCATCGAGAGGAGACACATTGGTCAGTTGGCTTTTTGAAGACTAACACTAACTGGCGTCATTTCGTCTCTCCGGTTACAGCGAGGAATAGGTTTAATTTTATTTTTATATTTCCTTTGTGCTTTAAAGTTTGTTTAGCGATTGGATTGGTTTTTCGGGGAAGGGTTGCTATCCCTATGCCCAACCTTCTCTCTTTATCCGGGCTTAGCATCAGCTGGTAAGCTAGTGGACTAGTAAACTAGGTGAGGTTGTCTTGAATTTGCATACCTAGTCACTGTTTGCGCAATCGCGGCAGTTTTAGCCATAGTAGTTTTTAGTTGAGAACATTTAATTGTTAGTCGGACTAAACTACAAGATTATTGTATACAGTCCTTAACTGTTGATCTGTCCCGTGTTGGCAAATGTATACTTCCTCTTCTGGCTTCGCGTGACGACCGAAACCAGAGACTAGCGGAGTGATTTAACTCGGGCTCAGATGTATCTACACATTATTGTCATTTTCACCTTTATACCTGGTTTCCTTAGTTTTTTGGCTGCCTCTTTTAACTCACTGTTTTTCTTATTTTTTCCTAGTTTCTATGTCTTTCGTCTTGTTGTTTTGTATCTTGATATGAGGTGTGGCAAGTTGGAGCATATGCAGTAATCCTATATACTGTATTGATATTAACTGGTCCACGAAGAGTAATTCGGTACTTTTTTGGTTGTCATATTCACTATAAACGTTTTATCCAGCGTTTTTTCTGTTACCAGATATCAATGTCTCACGCGATATGCCCTTTTATTTGTCAGAAGGAAATGGAATGAAGCTCATACTCCTTTGATGTTTGAAAGTTACAATTCTTTTTATTACTATTCCTGGAACTAATAGTTTTGTAAGTCTGACTTCTGTGCTTAGGCGTGGTAAATTCTCAGTCCTTAAATCTTCTCATTTGTTTTTTTTTGAATTTCCGGTTGCTATCACCAGTTCGTTGACCCTTAAAATGACCGTCTCTCTAGCATATCACTTACACCCAATATAATCGGTAATTTACATTTAAGTCCTTTTTGACGTTATCTGGGAAGAGTGTGAGTTTATATCCTTTTGTTTTAGTTTGTACTTGAAAGATTTTTGATACGACAAGACGGTAGTTTTCATACTTTAGTGTATTTAGTAAAATCACTTTGTTTATTACTATGTTCAACGTTTACATAATGATTATGATGGTATTACAGGATTGTTTCCAAGTGAACGATTTTCTGAGTACTGGTAAACAGCCTAATCTCAATGCTGATATGTTGACGACACTGGCCGACTGGTTGGTAGAAGTCCAAGAAAATTTCGCATTAAATCATGAAACAATACATTTAGCTTGGGGTCTTTTGTATGCATATTTGGATCGTGGACAACCACTTGCTCGGTAATTAATTTCAAAAGTCTACTTAGTTGTGAAGTGATTTTTTATATATTTTTTCATCGAAGTGCTATTGCTCAAATATTTAACTGCACTAAACATCAATTTTCACAATCGTTTATACGTAAAGTTATTTTCAGGAATCAGTAAACTTGATTCAGTCAGTTGAAGCCCAAATAGTTTAGGCAGTACTATTGCCAACTGTGACGGCGAAGGACACAAATTGAAATGTCCGAAGTATCATCAACTTCTTATTGGTTATTGATATACCTTGTTGAAAAACATCCATCAGCATCAAATTTAGGGTAGTGGATTCCTGTTGATATGAAACTTTTCTAATTTCAGCATCGTTTACTGTTTAGTTCACCGTGAAGTTAGTGATATATTTTCATGTGCTAAATAATCTTACAGCTGTATGTAATTTCATGTTGTTTGAAAAGCAATGAGGGAAATTTCAGTATACCTAAGCTGATCTCGACAACCCAACAGATAGTTGTCGAGCTTAAGTACATTTTAGAAAACATATAGTTTGCCGTTATTGTCTACCATCTGATACAATTACTGATTATCAAGTTGTGCAGTCATTTTATTCAACGATTCGATTTCGATTGTAGAACAAAGTGATGCTGTAAAATAGAAAACATAAATCTTCAGTGTATGCAATACACCCATCTTATTTAGAAAACCGATCATCTGAGGATATACACAGTTTAAAAATACATATGCGCTCAGTTATTTAGTCTTCATAAATGCAAATACCTATTTCGTTATCTGAACGATTGGAATAAGTCGTGTTTTCACAAAGAATCTTATTGATCATTGACGGGACTGTTGGTATTAATTGGTTTAAAAGTTGTTGTAAAATAGTTTCGAGATGACGAAAATTGAGTTATCGATAGCCAAACTCAATCGTCATACAAATGATGTAGGAACCTAACGTTGTTTTATCCTCCCCCATCTAAATATCCTGTATTAGTGAAGTGGTTACATGTTTTCAAATAAGTGTAGTTTCTAACTTTAATCAACATTTTCTACGACTTAGCATTTATAAATTCTTCAGAATCCTGAAATATTGTGTGATTATCACTTTGTAAAGGTGTATATGTGACCTACTTTGTTTTTGTTAATAATTTTAGACGTGAAATTCAGCTTATGGCATGTGCTGCAGTTATGGTTGCATGTAAACATGAAGAACGTCAAATGCCTCAACTGAATGAATTTTTGTACATAACAGACAATGCATACACAAAGGAGGAGTTCATTGAAGCTGAACGTCGCTTACTAACAGCGATCGATTTCGCTGTACATCGTCCAAACCCCTATGTTTTCTTGCGTCGTTATGCTCGGGTAAATCAATTTACTTTCCCCTGTGGTTATATTTTTGTACAACTATAAGTAAAATTTGTAATGAAACTGAAACATTTTTGTATCGGTGTGTGTCATGTGTTATAATGTCCAATTCTACTCGTTTTTATACTACAACAGTGCTTTGACTCAAATGTACCACATCATTTTGCACGAATGATGGTAAACGCAACAAGCGGGGATTTCGCGGACTCGCTTCGCGTCAATGTGGAGTTCCTCAGTATCACTATTCTATGGCTTCAAATCGGACTCAGATATGTGCAGTGAATGTACTTTAAACAAAACCAATACGTCGAAAGGAATGAAGTCAATAAGTTTTGTTAGGAAATCATTAAAATCAAGGGTGAAATTTGTTAGTGTACACAAAAGAAGGCAAATATTGTCAAGTTAATAAGTCTAGGTAAACTATCAGACTTCATGACATCGGTGATTTTCTTTGTAAACTGTTAGATCGGAAATGTGTGTGGGTAGATGAATAAGTAATTCTGGAAGTCTTAAATGATACTAAGAACAAATAAGTTTCAGTTTAAAAGAAATAAGCATATTCGTCCCGAGATTATGAAGTCACTTCGGTGTTGACAGTTAAAAGCTTGTGTCTTTCAAGGCTTTGGAATACAAAATGCTATTTCTGTCCTGTTATGCAGTAGTGAACAATTCTATTTTGGTCACTGAATGTGTATATCCAAGTATCCGGTCCTCTATGACTTTCTGCAAAGTTATACATTTTCTTTTCAATTGTGTAACTGTATGTTAAATAGAAACGAAACAATAAATCCAGTAAGCGTAAACTGTTATGTGTACCTGTTTACTGACGACTTCTGATTTCATCTTGCTGTGGCGGAATTAATCGACTGTAGCCGCTGCACTTTGGTAGGTAGTTCTACATTGTTTTTCTGTCTAGTGGTACTGCTGTTAGCAGTTTTTATCATCCACCCAATTTCACAGATTTCATGGGGATGTCTAAGAGTTGCGCCAAGTATGGACTACTGGCGTTAAAGTCTTCCTTTTTTCTTGAAGGAACTTGCTTTGGATGCCATTTATAAACTCTTTAGTAGTTAAGGATGCATCTTCCATATCACCATTTGAGTTAGATTTCTCCCCGTAGTGGGGAATTTTTTGTTTCTGTCATCCTAATTGACATTATCTAAAAAAGAATCGGTTTACGTCCACAGAAATCTTACAGACAGATATACGTGGATATGCTCGTTCACTGTGAAATACATTCTGTTATTTTGTTGTTGAGGATGCTATTTCGTTTCTGTAAACTTTAATTTCAGGTTTTAGATGCTCATAGTGGGACTGTTCAATTCACATCACGATTTCTTCTGGAGGCGGGTATGCATAGCCATACTATTAGCTTAAAGCGTGAATCACGTAAAGCTGCAGCTGTATTATGGCTTGCTCGAGTCGTTCTTCGTAATCCGTCCTATGCAGACTGGACACGTAGATCCGATGTGCATCAATTGAGGCAGTTGATACAAAACAATCCTCATGCTCAAGCTTACTATGCATACTGTCGAAGTCAGAATTCTAAAATAAGTAACCCTAAAAATAATCCTCGATCAAAGTTAGAACAAATCGCTGATTCGAATTCAGATTCATCGAAATCGCCGTACGATCTGTCTGCTTCCAGCTCGTGCGACTTTGATTGTTTCCAGTCCAAACCTACTGAAAAGCCTCCTGTCAGTTTATTCAAAACCTAGTGAGTTCATATTGTGTGAACTATGTATGCATTGCTAATAAGATGTCTTATTTGATATTTGCAAGGGCAATGAAACTTAAGTATATAGCAACCTATTATTCCTCCACAACTTTTTTATGAAACAGTTGTCATATTCTGCGTATACCCGAATAACACTAAAGTGTTGACCCTTTCAAATGTAGTCTTTTGTAGCTGGAAAACTGGTACTGGTCCATTTACAGAAAAGTGAATTTATAGGTAATTGCAACGCAAAACGATAGAATATAGACCCATTGAAGTACGTATTGTAATAATTTGCTATTTAGCCATAAAAAGCAAGTTGTCATAACCTAAAGTAGGCTTCTATCTGGCAGTAAAGAAATCTAACACGGTTTATCACAGGTTTTATTTTTAAAGTATTTTTTTTAAACTCAGAAATGTATTTTTCAGCAATACCTTTCACATCCCAGCTGGTAGATGCTACCTTGACATTGTGGTCGGGATTGTATACTGTGATGACCCAACGAGCTATGCTAGTGAAAGGTTTATTTTCTCGAAGTCCTACTATGCCAGGAAGGTCTTTTGGATAGTGATAAAGCAAAAAACCACTTGTCATTATAGTGTAAATTGCTCCACTATGATGGGGGCCTGAAGACGAAGTCGTACTGATGTCTGGATGGGAGTGCAACAGCAGTAAGGTGTTTCCCTTAGATGACTAACAGTGCCACACCGATGCTGCCTTATAAGAAGGAAACGGTACACTCTCATCACCCTGCGGCATCTTGATGACTGCGACATGGGTTCGTAGTTGGATTCGAATGTAATAAACCTAAATCACAAACTTACAAAAAATCTGTCTGCTTGGCCTCAAGCAGATGTCCCTGGCTCACACAATAACTGCACACTTTCCGAAGCCCTACAGTAGCTGTATTTTTCGATGTGAAGGCGGCGTTCGACTTCGTCGACCGCTAGGTCTTATGTTAGTATCTCACTGAAACGGGTGCTGAGGAAGTGCATCACTTTTTTTAAAGTCTCTGTGCTCAAAAACCCTGTAGATGTGTTAAATTTTACGGCTAGTTGTTAACGTCCACTAGAAGCTGTCAAGCAAGTCCACTCTCTATTCTTATTCAACGTTTCCATAGTTCCTACTCAGGCTTCCTCATCCTCTGACATTACAGGGATTAATCTAATCACAGATGAACTCTTGATAGGTCTGGAGTGCACATATGACAGTTATGCTAGATGAGAACACTTATAAGATACAGAGTCTTCTCGACACCTTGAGGGGCAATTAGAAAATGTTTGTGATGCATTCCTTGCCACCTAAATCCAATTTGTTGCTCTAGCATTGGTCTTCATTGGTGCCTTGTCTAACATTCGGGAGAGAAGTGATCGAGTTCGTTAAACACTTTACTTACGTGGGAAATCGGATCAACCCTGACACGTTGGTCAGTGACCGACGAAATCTGCATGGCTTTTGCCAACTTTTACCATCTGTGCTGTCGCCATATTATCTGACCGTCGGTGAAGAGTCAAGTGTACTGCGCTGCAATTTGCTCTGTTCTTCTTTATGATTGTGAAACATGTCCATTGCTGGTGGAGGACATAAAAACGCTTCTGATGTTTGACTACCAAATTTGCCCTCGTAGCACACACTATGTCGTGGTGTCACTATACCAGCAGCCCAGAAATTAGTTGTAGTTTTAAAGAGGAGAGGAATGCCAATTGATGTGATTGTGAACCTCTTTTGACTGAGATGTCTAGGATGTATGTTACGCATGCCTAGTCACCGTATGCCTCGCAACGCAATGTCAGTTGAAGTAGTTTCAGGTTGGAAAACAGTCAGGGGCGGCCAGATTGAAACATAGCATAAGTGCATGAAGTCTCTGACTTTTGGTCTGAGCCATGTTAGGAGATGCAGAGTAGTCATTTGAAGGCACTCTAGAGGATATGGATCAGATTCGATATTAGTGGTATAGATATATCCACACTTTATCCTCATCTTGAACGCTATACTGACTTCAGCGTTTTCTCATTCCTCCTTCTTCGTTTACTGCTTTCTATTGCTCTTGACCGATTTTTCTTCCTCTCTTCATCGTTCATCTTACTACTTTGTTGCTTGATGTGCTGATATGACGTGTAGCCACTGGGACCGCTGTACAGTAGTGCCTGGTCCTATGTTGATATTGATGATGAATCATCTCGGATGACTGCGGAAATCCAGTGATGTTTGTCAACCTTCGGGTGTACGTTACCAGCTGTCTTTACCGGTGTTTCTACAATAGAATGAATGTCACGCCAAATTTTCTCAGGAAGAGCATTGCTGTCTGTTGTCTGCTCCCTAACTACGTCCTTGATGTTCTCATCTTCCGATCGAGCACATATTCGCTTTACTGTTGCCTTTTTTCTTCGACTAACAATGTACAAACATACATGTGCCTGTACCAATGCGTGGTCGAAGTCTAAATAGGCACTCCAGAAAGAGCGCGATCCTCTAAAGATGGCTTTTAGCATTATGCTTTATTTGTTTCCATCGTTGACCTGATGTCCGCGGATGCCATGTGAGACGATGTCTTTGCTCATGCTTGAAATTAGTACCGGCTAGAAACAAGTGATTGTCATAGAAAAGTTGCAAGAGACGACCATCGTTGTCGGTTCGTTGGCATTGGATTCCATAGATACCTCCCAGATGCCTGTTCGATTGACTCTGCTTCACTGCTTGAACATTAAAGCCACCCGCCATTATGACTACATCTGAACATCTTGCTTTCTGTAGCAAAATTGACGACTTCTAAGAAGTCGTCATCCTTTGAACTTCCCGAACTGCAGTCAGTGGTTGCGTACGTGGAAGTTACAAGTAGGCATCATCTAGTCTCGCGATCCTCTCTAGTCCTTACAGATCCACTCAATTAAACTGCCGTTGACTGGTATTCAGTCGAGATGTGTGCTTTCTGCTCTACAACTCAATGCTGTGCCTACACCAGAGAGTGCACGAGAGCTAGCCAATGGGTTTGGGAATAGTGTTGGAGTGAAATTTGAAGATTCACAACACTGGTCAGGTAAAGTCAATTAAACCACCACACTCGGGTCCTGTGAACGTGTCTCAGAGACAGCACATACGCATGCCTCGTTCTTACAGAATTTTGGCGAGCAATGCTTACTGTCCGACTTAGAACGGAGTCCGGATGTGAAAGACTGTAATGTGAAATTCGTGGCGGGGTCTTGGGAGACTAGCAATGGTGACTTGATGTCTTTGATCATTGCCACTAGTCGCACAGTTACAGGGAGATGATGTAAAGAGTAATTATTGAGGCGCTAAGTATTCTTTATCTGTCCCATTTCTTGTCTTAGATTTTCTCTTATTAGTGAACATTTTCTGCCTATTATGTATCCAGACATTTAACTAAGCCTACTTTAACTAAGATAGGGTGAAATGATTTGAAGTCTAAGTAGCGATCCAAATGTGATCGCTTCCTCTAGACACTAGTTTCTAAACTTCCATGGACTAGACGCAAAATTTTTGCTGATGGAATTTGTTAACCGATTTCGCGAAGGTGCTGACGTTGAAAGCTCGAATGTGTAGTTTTGAGCGAGATGATGTTCGGTGAACACAGATCTCAATCAAGAGCTACCGAGCCGAAAGAAGTTTAAGGTGGATTTTGAGTATTGGTCGAGAAACATGAAGAAAAATTTGAGGGTTGGTATTTCGAAAGTTTATAATGTGATGGGAGTTCAGTGCTGGCAGAGTTGTGAGGGTGGTTGAAACTTCCTGACTGCGCAGGCTGTTGAGAGCTGTTTCTTCTTGAGGTGCCTGAGGAAGAAGGGTTAGTAATAGTTGTACACGACTACAGAGCCCAAAGGACATCTGGTTGGTGCTGGTCGCACAGATCCTTTTAAGAAGTGTGAGATATGAGTTGGTGCGTTTCAACTCTAACCATCAGCGGATATCGCATTCATCAGTTTGCTACCAGGTAAGGTGGAGTGTACGATTTTCGTGGCTGACATTTCCTAACTCCGTCTTCATATAGAGAAGGCACCGTCGGTATAGCACTGCTGGTTATGCAGGGGAAACATGTTACGGCTGTCACCGCCGTCCAGACAGCAGTATAGCTTCACCCTCAAATCCCATTCGTGGCGTAGCAATTTACACTGTGACTACCTACCTTCTGTCTGACCACTATCCAACTGACCTTTGTGGTGGGTAGGATTTGTGGGGAACAAGTGTTTTACGAGCAAAGCTCATTGGGTCATTGTGAAATGCAAGCCTAATCATCCCGTTAAGGTAGAGACTATCACGAGACGGTCTTTGAATGGAAGCTGCTGATATCGTGTTGCATACATAAAATGTGGTAAGAGTTTGATTTGGGTTTTAGTTCTCGTTTGCGAGTACTCTTATTTTCACCATTGCGAGTTGGTTGACCGCGTAAACGCTATATATTGTGAAGGTACCTTTTGGATTATTTTGTTTATTGAAGTTGGTTCCAGCACTATGCATAGTTGTCTTTTTTAATTCTTTCTCTCTTGCTGTCATATTTGAGTTATGTGATATGTCACATTTTAGGATTTCGCTGTCCATATTTTGACATTTTTGCTTGTCTTTATTCGCTTCAGATGATTGTACTGTATTTATTTGCTATTCACTGAACTTTTTATTTCTTCAGTGATGCTTTTAGCGAATCACTAAGTTTGGAGAAATGTGTCAAATTCTCAGCACTTACGCACTCACCTGATTCAACACCCAGTAATATGAGTCACCCTGTTTCGTCAAGTGTTGTAGAATCATTTTCTGAAAGTCATTGGTTGGATAGATTTGACTCTTCTATCAAACCTGACCTCGAAGCAATGCAGTTAGAAGAAGAACAACGACAACCTTTGTGGCCTCCTATTCTGGAGCATATAACCGGTTACAAGGAAGCAGACCTTATCCCTTTGGCTTTACGTTATCATGCGATAGCGCTAAGACTAATAGCTGAAGTCGCCCGTGGAGGACGTTTGGCTATGGCCGCTGCCGATGTCCCTACTAATCTAAGTGTTAAACAGCCGAATGACGGAAGTGGGCATGCTGATGAATTTGATGTGGAAGATGCTTCAAGTCCACAAAGTTCACGTTGTGTATCACCAGGTGGTCATTATTTGCGTCGTCAATCTGTCAGCAAATACTGTTCTAGGTAAATTTGACCTGTTAATTTTTCAGAATCATCTTATTTATAACACTTCGGTGGTTTCACGTTATATCCTAAAATATAAGTTCGAGCCTCTCCTCATCGGTTATTGACCAGAAATATAATCCTTCTTCCAAATTTTGTGCATATGAATTTAACTTCGTCAGCCCTCCTGAGTTATTGTTACTTTCCTGCTGTGATACTCAGTCCTTGTTTGATCATTTATTAAGCAGATTACAAGTTTTGATTCTTGAATTTTATGCATTTCAGGAGAATTTACTAAATAGAAGAACAATGGAAATCAGCTGTTGGTGGTTCGGTTTTTAGGAAGATATGAGCCTAATGCTTTGAAGCAGCCAGTACTTCAGTAGCATCGTCATCTGGGAGGAGTTTACTTTTAGTAATGCTCGTTACATCTTGAGCTATGCAATTTTTTTAAGGGGGGGTGAGCGGTGTAAAACTACTGCTTTGAGTGCCCATGAAAACCAGTTAATTACTTTTTGAAATGTATAGTTCATCACATACAAGTGGGTCCATTCATAGCGGTATACAAAAAATGGATGAGAAAGAATTCAGTCAAAATCGAGAAAGGTGTATGAGGAAAAACAAATATCAAAATTTAATGAAAAGAAATCGGGATACACTCCATAACTTTGTGCACATTCGTGCAGTAAGCAATTAGTCGCATCTGTTGTGTGAGGGACAAGGACACCACCTGGCTAACCAAACCTCGTTAGACGGTATGGTATTTGACTCCCCAACCCACTGGTTGAAAGTCAACCACCAAACCAATAACGCATAGCTCCACGGTGAAACAGGAGATCAAATCTATACTCCTGAATTAGCAAACGGTCAGACAAAACCAACATGGAACGTCTCTCAAAAGTACATCCGTTCAAGTTGCCGCACTTCACAGTAGCGTTAAAAAAATATGTGGATAGAAAAACTGATATCAAAGTAGACAAAAGTGTACAGTGGGAGAGGATATTTTAAAAAATTAGGCTTAGTCAAAACATTCCACCTCTAGAAGAAACCAAAGAGTGAATACTTGCTTCGTTTTAACCAGTTTTCAGCCATACAATCAAGAGTTTTCAACTACTGATTCCAATCGACTCACAGACACCAGCTAGGTGGTCTACACCTATCAACATAGTTTAGCTAAACAGTCGTGGACTTTATCGACTGGTACCAAGTGTAGCACAAGCAGAAGTGAAGCCTTTTACGGCCTAATCACACTTGCTATAGTGTCGCACGTTGTTGTAGGTAATGGTTCTTCATGTGCCTTACATGTCCAAACCATCTCATTTGATCTGCTGCAGCTCCTCAATTGAGTGAAGTGGTCGACATATCCCACCACTGCACTCACTATCAGAAAACTGGGAGTACTGGCAGCAGACCAGTCCTGGATCATCATCTTACATTTGACAGGTACCAGAGAATCCCATCCCAAACATACTCAGATTTCTGCTAAGCGCCTTCACAAGACTGCATTTCATCAGCGTCATCGCCAAGCAGGCCAATGCCATATGTGTTCTTTAAGTCAGTCAGATGACCACCAGGGAGTGGCTCAATCCCTGCGAATTCACATGAACCTCAGGTTATATCCATTAGTATGTCCACAACGAAGTTAAACAGCAACAGTGAGCATGCTTGCAGGGCATCATTGATTGTCATCAATTCACATGACCACTCTCCATAAGTTCTTACACGGCTGCATGAGTTCAACTGGAGAGCTTTGACAAGCATTATATACTTGCTGGGTGCTCCCTTCACAGTCAAACACTGTCACAACACCTTGCGGTGGTGAACAGATTCGGATGCTGTCTGCAGGTCAGGAACAACAGCGAGTATCGGCTGCCAGTAAGTGTGGCTGTGTTCCAGCACATGTAGATTGGTGGAAATATGATCGATACACCCTTGTCCATTGTGATGTACAAGTCCGACCACTACATCATGGTAATAGCTATTGTTTGGGTTTTATATTGAGATTAAATGCGCAAAAATACTCCGTTTCGGCATCTTACCACCAAGAGTTCTTGCCCTCTGTATTGCATTTGATTTTCTGTCTTCTTCTCTTTCGATCGTTATCACCTATAGTTTGTTTTCTAATGTTGCGCTATATACTTTCAATCCCCATTTCTTTAAGTAGCGTTAACCACATTTATAGCCTACTGTTAACAATTTGTCCTAAGTCTGATCCCAGCAGCTTGAAAGCATGTATTCCATTCCTCACTCACAGTTAATTATCTAATTGTTTCAGCTTTGTTTATTAGTGATCATTTTTTATGCAGTCATGTCTCCCTATCTCATGTGTGCTAATTCGATAGTCTGTGAGTGGAACTGATCCGTCTTTCGATCCTTATGTGACCTTCAAACCTGTTTGAACTGTAATTTTCCGCTTAAAACCTGTTTCCTTAAATGCCCAACGACAGGCGAGTGTATTTATGCTTGATAACAGGTAAAACCTTCGGTTTAAGGATGTACGTAAAGTTTCATTTTTATTATGTAGTTTAATTAGTACGTTATTGTTTCCCAGTAAGAGTGCATTCATATAATCTCCTTGTCAATTTTGCATAGATATGCTGCATGTCTTCTCATAGTTTTCCTTTTTTTGTCTATTTATAATCTAGTGCATTTTGAGTGTTGCTGATGCCTATCCTCAGTTGGCATTCGACAATTTCGTTCCCTATTTCCCATCTATCCAATGTTCAGAAACATGTCAGTGTTTTGTTTGTGTCAATCTCATTCGTCAACCTAATTGACAACAGCACTTACATAACACGGAAAAAAAAATGTAGTCGATGTTTTTTCTTCTAAATGCATATTTCATGGATGTAGATGCGTCTTTCGTATGTTTATATATCCTATTTATCTGTTTTTATCGTTTAGCGGAATTATTTCTCTTCACTATAGACTATTTGTGGATTACTAGTGATTTTTTTTATCAACTAATTTTTTCATACTGAAATAGGTATATGCTCTCTTCATTTCTTATCTCCTTTTAATAATTTCAACTAATATGATGAAATAATACTAACTAATAATGAGTACTATTACATGCATACAGTCAAACGCATATTTATTTTATCGTGAACTACCTAAAACATTGGAATCAAGATAAATCAGTGGGTTGAACAACAGCAGTTGTAATAGCAGGTTATACAGGATTGATATGTTTTCACAATCAGAAATCTTGTATAACCTGCAAGTACAATTTCTATTGTTCAACCCACCAATTTATCTTGATTCCAATGCTTTAGGTAGTTCACGATAAAATAAATATGCGTTTGACTGTATGCATATAATAGTATTTATTATTAGTTAGTATTATTTTATCATATTAATTGAACTTATTCATTTTATCCTAACTAAATTGTGTCTATTTAATGATTGTATAAATATATGTGAAAAATGTTTCTTTTACTTGGTGTTGTTGTTCTCCTTCTGTAGTTGATTTTTTGATTCTAAAAAGCTGTAATGATGAGAGTAGATAAGCTTTTCATTATATGTAAAAAACAAGATTGTTCATTTTAAACCCTTCACAGTGATAACTGTCTGTTATCGATCTTTATTATAAAAAGTTAGGCCTCAATTAACGAATTAAACGCTTCAGAAGGTTTCGGCTGTCGTTAAGTATTCGTTTCATTCTTCGTACACATGACATGTAGGTCCAGCACTGAATCATCTAGATTGTTTCCTACTTTGAAACGAGTTGAAGTTTTTTCTTAATTATAGTTGTTTTAAAAGTAATGTAATTGTAGCTTAGAAAATAGTCTTTAGAATTCCTCACATTTTCTTCACATCAACGGACTAGCTGTAGTGACTGTAATACAAAGTTGCTTAGTTGAAGAAATATGTAGTCACTACGTTTTCTCAAGAAAGTTATCACTTACCTTGTCTGCTCGAGGTTTATCTATTTATTACTTTTCAAGTTAAAACAAACATCAAATGGGCCAAATCCTTCTCTTTATTTATTATTTAGCTTGAATCACAGGATAGTATCACTAATGTTTGCTTAACGCTTTTTTAATGGAATAACACAAAAGAAACGGTCAATTAGTGAGTGTTAAAATGTATACTCAAAGTGCAGCTGGTCTGTGCTAGGGGTCAATTGATATCATTCAACTTGCTTAGTATTCAAAGGAATGAATAGTTGCAGTATATTCAAACCAGATGACAACACAAATTTTGTGGAATGACACCTATCTCTTGGTTTTCTTCACTGTTTTCTTGTTGCACTGAATTTGCCCTCTTTTATTTTCGTTCTTGAATGATGTTTTCGCGAGCCCACTTAGTTCTGTCAAATACGGATATAACGTGTCTTTTGATGATAGAATAGTAGCATATTCATCAGGCTTCATTTTCTCTGCTAACCTTTTTATGTAATCAGGTTCTACACGACAACATCCACCTACCCATTGAGCTAAAGGCAATGTATATTTACACACTTCTTTCTCGTTGGGATACGTTCCACCTAGGTTTCTTGTTTCTCGTGTTTTAGACCACTGCAACATGTTATTTACCCATCTTCTGGCACCCAGGGCCACCGTCGAGGTCAACAGCTGACCTTTTCTTAAATGCTTGCCTGATGGTGGGATCCAAATCTGTCCATCATTTGCTATGAGTATTAAGATTTTCTTCTCACAACCATTTATAATCGATTCCTCAGAATGACGTCCTCTGATAGTGCATGGTGGTGGATGATAGCCTTCTTCATTTCCCGATTCACATGGATCATATATACTGTAGAGGTTAGCCAATGCTTGTCCGATTAAATTATGAGGGACATTGCAGCATACACCAACACCAAATATCTGAAAGTAAAACACTAGATTTGAAGGCAAATCTAAAATAAAAAACGTAGTTTATGCTTATAACTGACTGACCAGTAAGTTTTCGATCTTTATAATTTACAATTATATAGAACTATCTATTGAAAATCAAGTGCTCAAATCGGTAAACTCCACCACAGTAATATTTAATCTACTTCATTTGCTTAGTACTTGATAACAACTATTATAATAACCCAATAACAGGTTAAATCAGATGAACGATTGAGAAACAACAGCAGCTGAAAATCTGCAAAACTCTCATTTCTTTCACCTTAAGTGGTTTGTCTTTCTGACCACGTAGAGTGCGCTTCTGGTCAGGTCACTTGAATCTTTGTAGTCTCACTTCCATATCACCCGCATCCCAGCTTGCCGCAGATCTAGATTTTCATAGCCATCGGCGAGGTTCTCTTTGTCGGTCAATTAGAGAACGTGTGGATATGAACGTACGTAGGAAGTTTGAGTTCGGAATAATCATTAGAATTGACAACACAATATCGGCTGTGTACAGTTAACAGGAGGATATATGTGACTTTTGTTCTGTATGATAAAATACCGAAAAAGAACTCAACTCACTTTTTCGCATTTTTCTACTTCTAAAGCGAATTGACTTAATGGTAGGCCAGCAGTTGATGTTTGTCCGTCGGGGGAATCAATAGTGATCCAACATGAAGCCGATGGTGGCAATCTGTGCATCACTTCACTAATAGCTGAAACTTCCGTCAACGACGAGATTTTATTCCACGCCAGAAAATCTGCACCACTAGCAATTAAAATCTCTGCACGTTTATAGTGAAATTCCACTAATTCCTCGAATGTTTTGTCATTGTTTTTCGTGTTTTTAGAAGATTTTTTGTTTGCGATGCATGCGTCATATGGACCTAACGACCCAGCTATAAGTATGGACAACTTTCGATTTTGCCTTTTTAAACAGTTTTCAGCAGATATAGCACGTTGTACGAGTCTTACAGAATGTCTCATTAGTTCAACAGCTTCTGCATATGTGATATTTAGGGCTCCAGTTAATGTTTCTGGTGAAGCACAGAATGTATTTGTTGAAATGACATCACATCCCGCTTGAAGGAAGCTTAATTAATATATGTTGTAGAAAAGGAAAATAAAATTCCAGTTATTTGATTAACCAATCATAACAATTAGACTAGAAATTCAGAACTAGGACTCATCGAAATATGGATAGGGGAAACACGTGGGCCGTGTCGGAAAGGCGTTTTTTTATACTGTATGTGGTGACAGTGTCGTTTATAGTTGTCTTAGGTGGTATGTACGCAGACCAAGTTCGTGGAATTCACTGCATTAAATCACCATTAGTTTACTGCAGCCAATGGGTGAACCGGGATATGAATGTCGGTTTTCCCTTCGGATGAACTCCCTGTTGAGTTTGCCCATAGAAGTGAATGAAGTAATACATACTGCTTTTTATTTTGAGAACTGTTGCCTTTTCTTATTGTATGTAGCGTAATATTTCGTTGTAAATTTAACCTGAAAATCCAGTCTGTTTTTTTATCAGCTTCATAGTCTCAGTATATACCTTAACTAGTTTTCGTATGTGCAGTGGTATTGAGGATATTCAAACATCAGAGAGAAACTCTTCAACCGTTAACTGTTTTTCCGTTATTCCTTGAGATTAACAGCATCTGGTTGGGAAAGTAGAATAGAGATTGTAACTGCTAGTTATTAAGTCTGTTTTGTTTCATCTGTGTCGGCGACAACTCAAATTTTTGATATGGTTCTCCTTATATGGATATGGGGTTTTGTTAACTGTGACTGACTAACTATGCAGATGAATCCAGTCACTGGAATAGAATACAGAGTGAACAAATGTTGTGTCAGATAATGCTGCAGCTTTATTAGATTGAATTAAGAGCTTTACGTGATTTATTAGTTTGGTACAAGAGATGTCAGTTCTGAATTGAGTGGTGTTAGAATGAGTTTCGGTATCGTGAAGCTGGCTTAGTTCAACTTTTTCTAACCATTATTTCTTTTAATTTAGTTGAAAGCTTATTGTTCAGAGATATTTAGGAGTATTGTAGTTCCCTATATATATACATATAGTCAAAGTTCAATACTGTCATGATTTATATCGATACCGAACAAATGTAAGCGGTTACCAGTTTATTTGTAATAACACAACCACTTCCGTCGTATTTTATCTCAGGCTTCTAATCAACGGTCTCTTCCATCCGATCAACAAGGGTGCATTTGAACATGTGGTTAGGAAATTAAGAATCGATTTGATTCACCTGAGGTTTGCTGCCAGACCTTTACTACAATTATTTCTATACATCCAAGCGGATGTTAATTGGACATAGCACGACACGTATTCCATAGAAGCAAACAATTCAGGTAGCAAGAATAATGGCAAAATGTTACTGCGTACGATATATGAGTTATCTGTAGAGTAATTGATAGACATATTACGGTAAGTAAGCATTTTCTGCTCAGTTATACAGTATAAGTATCTTTAGATAGTAAGACGGATGATAGGAACTGAATAAACTAAATTTCCATATGCAACAATGAATATGTTATGGATTCTGCACTCCTCTCTATTGGCGTTAATGAAGTGAACCGATCAACCTCTTAGTTTTCCGGTTTCATCAACATGCCTAAATATTGTTGTAACAGTGTATGGGGAACTTCTGTGAAAACATATATTAATTTAATTGGGAATATTTGTGGCTCAAGTTTAAGGGTTATTTTCTTTTAGGTTGTCTGAACTTCAGTATTTTATCTCACTGATGAAGTTAGCACGAATGATATCACCAAGACTGATGACGAAGAGAGTATGATCAAATATCAGAAGTCAGAGAATATGAATTCTTTTTTTTTCAGATTACGACGTATATTTTTGCAGTCTTGCTTCATAAATTAACGTTTCACTTATTGCTTACTGTTCATGTATAAACTGTCAGCTAAAAACGTACTGCTAGCCGTTTTTAACGAAACTGACTCAGATGACACTTGTAAGTTACTACACTTCATAATTTGTAATACAAATATATTAATACACTAACTATGCCTGTTGTTTACTAAAAAGATATAAAGCCTCTGTCTTGTCTTTGCCACTCAGAGTTCATAAATGGCTATCTGTGACGAACAAACTAGAAATTTTAGGTTACTCAATTTCAAGATTATGTTGGAAAATAGTTCAGTCTAGAAAATATAGCTGACTATATACACAATGAGCAATAATGATAAACTTCCAGTATCTACCAGTAAAATGCTGCTGTAAGTGCTCTTCTAGGTAATCTCAAATCTTACATCAGGGAAAGTCTTTATTGAGACTTTAAATCACCTGGAGAACCTCTTAAAAGTATGGAATACTTGATATCCATTTACTATGAAACCATTCATTCCTGCTCAGTTCCGACTTTTTCTGTAATGGACTCTTAGATCTTAATGTTACTTTAATGGGTACACAACAATAGAGTCAGTGAGACAAGAATTGGGTGGTTCAAATTCAATACCATTGTGAATCCCCATTGTAGAATGAAACTGAAAAGCATTATTTTCTCCTCTTTAAAGTCAGTTATGTAAGTCTTCTTTGGATTGAAATAATCATTAATCTATCAAATTGACATTTTGATTAATGTGGAATATTTGTTTGCACACTTTAATGTCAAAAATGATTGAAAAACTTACCTTTTATGCACTTCACATACTAAATTAGGGTCATTCTTCAGAAGGCAACAAGCTTCTATGTTATGCCCTTCAATTTTCAAATTTGCTCTTCTTTGCAGTTCAGTTTCAAGACCTCCATCGATAACACGTATTTCTGTCATCCATTTTTCTACTCGATTATCTGACATTTTAAGACGTCTTACATATCCGTATGGAATCAATTTAGTTAAGTGTACAAGGTTACATCTAAGTGTCAGAGGGCATTTATACTATTGATCAGTGGATGATTCAAAACTGACCATATAATCTAATTAAGCAGGGTAAACAACGTGATACAAGTTTGATTTCTTGACTTCATGTGAATATAAAGGACAACCCTATCAAGAGTAAATTTTTGACTCGTGTATTATTGACATCTTACAGTCGGGATGGCTTTTAGAAAATAACGTCGAGGACTGAAGGAAGATCTCTAACTCACCACCACCTCCAGTTGGGTATTTTTTTTTATATCTGTTTTACTGTTGTAAGGATTGGACCAGCTGACTGATAAGCCCAACTGAGTTTCCGTTGAATAATTACTGAATACTTATCTTGTAGTATCAATGAGAGACATTCCTATATGTCTTATTAAATCCTGACCAGCTGCTGAATACGCAGACAGACAGATGGATCAGTGTAGAAGCTCGTACTAAAGTCTATCCGCTACAGTTGCGTCACTACCCAGTAGTATAAACAGAAGAATGACATTGAGGTAGACAAAAGTGTATGGGAACAGAGGAGGTAAAATAAACTAACAAAAGTCTGGTAAAATGCTGAAAATTTCAAAGATGGAAAACACATTTCATCTATTGTGATTACTTTCAGGCCATATGATCGTTCGTGTAAAATAAGAAACAGTATACTAATGGCCTGGCAGTTTCTATCCCAATAACCCCGCAGTTAGACTGCTCTTGATTGGATGGGTTTTTTCACCCGAAATTAACCGGTGGTCTTTATCAAACGGCCTCTGTCTAAACCCTTACAAAGGTCACACTGGTTATATTCACCTCAAGTGTAGACAAGACTTGTGTGGGTTGCTTCGGTTTCATGTTTTCTGCACGATGGGTGATATTACTACATCAGGTTTTACCCAACTTTGACCGGGTTTTTCTTCCCATGTTTATTGATTGTCTGATATCTAGTTGACTTCCGGAAAAATATTTCGCTTGTATTTTACCTAGTTTTCTTTATTCCCCCCCCCTCAATCCTTTTTGGACTACTAAAAGGAGATTATGCTGTATTGCGTGGGGTAAATGGTTTAGGTCGAGCTCAACTGCATAACACTACTCGAAAGACATTTAAATTCAGGCGGGTAACTAGCTACAGTCATTCACCTTATTCACAGTCCTATCCTTGTATCTCTTCAGGCAGGACAAGAAGGCATCATAAGACTTTTGGCTCGTACGGCTAAGTATAGGAATTCAGCTGTGCTTTACCTAGCACGCATCATCTGCGAAGAAAAGTGTTACAACGGAACTAACATATCAAATTTGTAGCTCTAATTACTCAGTCCTTCTAATATTTCAACCAGTTATGCATAACTATCCTCGTTACTGATATTACTTACATAATTTAAATTGTGAATATTAAAACTACTCAAAATTTAATAAAACAGTGTATTTTCGTTGCTATATTACATGCTAAGAATTCCAATTTTTATCAAAATTATTCGGATTAGCGTGAATATTATCTATTATTATTATCGTCATTATTAAGTGCCCTATGACAGACCTTTCAAAGTTGTCAGAATGGATCAGAAGGTTTTCGTCATTGATGGGTTAGGCCAACAAGACACCATGGTTATCGACCGGCTGAAAGTAACGAATTTTGACGACGATCCGGAACTCTCTCCTGCGGAAAAATCACTGCATCTCATGCTTCTGCAATAAAAAGGAGGGATTTCGGTTCAAGGAGAATACGACTCATCCAGTAATGTAAACAAAGTAACGGAGACAAAGTACAGTCTACGCATGCCGGCCGACGTGTTCCCTGGCGCAGATGGTTAGTAGGCTTCATCATTTAGTTCTTTTAGTATCTAACACCTAGAAAGAGTTGATTTTCTCTACCTACATACTTGGTTAATACTTACAAATGCGGTTTTGTTCCTGAGTTTGCTTCTTCACGTCGCAACAATTGTTCTGAAGATGATGCCTAAAAACTTTTGAGAATAAAGAAATAACAGTTTGACAAGAGTTTAAGGTAGTTGACTTTAGTTATTCTAGACACTTGTTGGAAACTGAAAGATCATTCTTCTAACTCATTAGACCCTCAAACTGGATTTTTGTCTTGACGTAACTGCTAGATGATGAGATATCGCAGAATTCTTGGCCCAGTGATAATGCTTGCATTTGGATAGCAGATAGTGAAATACTATAATAGATAAACACATTTCTCTGGTTTTTCTGGAAGGCTTGAGTGGAAATCTATTACTTACTTACTTTTCCATTTTCTGACCATCTTTTTGCAACTGTTTATGTGTTTTTTGAATTTTAAACGCTCATCATTTGGTAATTCATATAAGGAGTGTTCTTTTGGTAAAATGTTTCATTCTATTTCAGTAAATCGAGATTTTATTTAACTTATACGATTCAGAGGACGGTTATTTGGATGAATACGATTTGGATAGAGAGATTCGCAAAATGGTTTTTGGTTTCACGTTTCTCGATGCAGCTTTTCAGGAAATTGGTTTGAGCATTCGCTTAGGCATGTTTGATAAAAACCAAAAAAACAGATTCTTTTACTGTCACAAGAATCTTGCTCCTTTTTAGGTGGGAAGAAGTTCTATCGAAACATGCAAAATCACAAAGCAGTTTAGCGAAGAAAATGTTTATTTCGAGGAATCATTTTCAGCAGATGAACATTCGCAATCATAGCAACAAGAAACAAACAGATGAGTCTGTTATTAGTTAACAGGTCAACATTAGGTTGTGGGAGAATGGAAGTATTATTATCACGTAACACAGCACCTTACCTAATGTGTGTGTGCTGATAACGAAACACAGGTAAAAAAGACTGAATTATTCGGGAATATATCCGAAACAACAATATATTTAAACAGAATTAAGATGAAGGTTAATCCAACATTAGGTCATCAAAAATGAACATCCTAGGGTGAAATAACGGATCGATTCTGGAGTGAGAAAGTGATTGTGTAGTGAATGTAGACCGCACATATCGCAGTCTTTCTGGACGCCTCTCCAAGTACTATCCTACTTGGCTGAGGAGAACGCAAGTCAAGCAGAAGTTCCATCTTGGACCACTTAATCAATTCTAGTCGTGTTGCTTCCCCAGTCTTCTTTTAAAATTTTGTATGAAGTCAAGCCGAATGGCTCAAAAGGAGTGCTGATTCGTCACTTATGTAAAGCTAAGGCTTCGGCAATCCAACAATTAAAGCCTGGGCTACGCGCATAGAGGCGGCATGTCCTTTCTGTTATTTTTCCGTGGTCATAATCATTTGTTGAGTTTCTTCACTGCTTCTCTTACTGTCTGATTATCCTTATTTTTACTTTGTGGTTTGCATGTCTTAACATGTTACCTCCGATATCCCTCTAAAAATTTTCATAATACTTGGCTGCGATTGTTGATTAGGATTAGTGTAATCATTTTTGACCTGTTTTCCTGACCTATCGGTCATCACCTTAGCCGCCTGCATATTTTTCTCATACACACTATGGTTGCGTAATCCCTTTCTAACTCTAGAATTGACCCACTATTTCACCCTTCCTGATGACCCAATGTTGACCTATTTAGCCAATAACAGACTCATCTGTTTGTTTGTTATTACGATGAATACGACTGTACATCTGTTGAAAATGATTGTCCAAAAAGGAAATTTCGTTTGCTGAGTTACTCCGCATAGTAGGGATGGGTAACATGAGGCGGTAAACTGTCGACTTTCGATTGTTGTATTGAACATTTTTGTGTACGAAAACTAATTTAGCTGCTGTAAAAGTGATTTTCAGTGCAGTTCCTATTCTTCTATTGACCCGATTCATAATTCCATCCCCCTTAAAAGATGGTAGAACACAGATTTCTTTGTGGGATTATCAAGTATACTTGTTTCTGCTGTTCTCACTTTGACTTTATCTACAAATCTCTTAGGGTAACCACTTTCTTTCAGACTTCTCTCGATCAACTGAATTTTTTCACTCAGTTTGTCTGATGAACAAAGTTTCTGAGCCCTATGAAATAGCGCTTTAACTAGTCCTTGCTTATAACGAAGATACTGTTTACTCCATGTTTCTTTTCTGTACACAGATCTCTGACACGACCCACCTATTCTTCGTCGAAGTCGCAAGTCCAAAGAATAAAATTCCCTATTTGTCTCGTGTTCCATGGTAAACTTAATATTTGTATGTCCCTTTCTGTACACTTTAAGCGATGCTATCACATGATTCATGTCATTACATAAAACAAACGTGTCGTCAACATGCCTGTCAGATAATATAGTTTGACTGGTAGCTGTAGCTAACGTGGTTTTCACCAAGTTGGTTAACAATGCTGATACCATCAATTTATCTTTGACACCGGCTTCGTCTATTTTTTGCGCAAATGTATCTTCCAGGTTACAGATTGCTAGCTTCCTTCTAATTGGATCTAATCGATTTGCCAACCATCGAGCCAATGTGTGGCAGAGGGAGATGATCATAGATAGAATGGGGGGGTCTGAGTGGTAGATTTGGTTTATGTAGCTTAGTCTGTCCATACATAATTGGTGAGCGTGATCCTCTAGGCTTCAGTTCTTCTTACGTCTAACCATTGACAAGTTTCTTCTTTAGTACTTCTTTCAGTTGCTTGGTCACTTTATTCTGCGTTAGACAGGTCTTATCCTTGGTTGAATTGTCAAACATAAATATAGATTCGTCTTCCACGATAGACTGGACCTTTGGAACATAGTCAAATTGTTCATCAACACTACCCCGCTACCTTTATCTGGTTTGATAAGCTGTTTCGCTTTTCACGGCATCTGATGGTGAGAAAATTCCAAGTGACGTAAGTCCGTCTACAGGTTGCCTGATGGTTAAAGCTGAAGATTTGGAGCACACTTGCAGATATCAGTATGTGTTGGCTAGCTAAATTTCTGAGGAACTAGTTCGACTTACAAGTGCAGTGTGTATTGTAAATACGCTCTAAATGAAAGTCAGACGTTGACAGTTACTAGAGTCAGAGACTTAGTATTTTAGCAATGCCCTGAGATGACGAAAGGGGAATTCTTTTAAATATCTAGTCTAATATTTATAGTGTATCAAATGTAAATGCGACTCAACAGATTCAACAACTTCTACAAAATAACAGTTTGAAATTATCACTCTCGGTTGGTTGTCGCGTTATTATGGCATCCAAATTGCGAAAACAATACTCAAGCAATACTCGACCAACTGTTTTGTCAGAAAAATCTAAAAATGAAAGTTATTAGGGCTAACAAGTAAAATTATCGAAATAATTCAGTAGCTAGAAACACCCATCAGCATATGAAAGTGGAAAATTAACGTCTCGATAAATAAGGGCGAAATACGAAGCTGGTTTATTCAAAGTTCGAAGTGGTGAAGCGCTTCATTGGTGTCACCTGGATATCAACCTTGCTTCGTGTTAGTGTTGGCAGGAAAAACATTACTGGACAATTTCGTCCTACAGCTGATCAATCAAAATAAATATCCAACTTTTGACCTGGTGGCTTTATATGCTGAGGAAAACTGCACATAAATGATGGGCATTTTGTCAAATAGAGCGTCTTCTCAAGAGTAACAGGTTGGTCTGTCTTCTGATTTTCACAGTTCAGTGAAGTATAAGGTTATGGAGGAAACAACAATCGCTATTCGTATTTAAAGTGTCACATTGCGCCCTCGTACTTCATATTATTCTACCACTCACTTCAATACGTTACGCATAATAAGTCAGCTGGAAGTGTTATTCGCCATCATTTGCTGGCTACATGTTTCTTGGTTGTTCGGAGTCAAGACTATACGGTCTAAGGGGATTTGTCGCTTTGGCATCATATCCCTGCGATTCGCAGGCTGCGATTTCTCAGGTTTGATCAAAAGTGATTATTGTTCGAAGCAGTACTAGAAAGTGACAAAGAAATATAGCTGGGTTACAATTGATGTTTCCGGATTTCTTTACTGATGCTGGAGAGTCCTTCATTCAGTCTAGCAATATGAGCAACCGGATTGGAATTTGTGAAGTGTTCAGATGGATATACATCTGTAATGGCGCTGGTACCAGAATTTTTATTGGTGACTCCTACCAGTACTGATTAAGGTGTCATTACCTCTACCGTTATGTACGCAGCGTGAGCTACTTCCACCTTCACAAGGAGACAAAACTTAAAGCAACCAATTCACAGGAGTTTTCATGAATGCATTAGTAAAATGAAGGCTACTTCAATTTTCTGATGTTAGGTATTTCATACAAAGAAATTCTGGCGGAAATCAATCTATAGTTAAGGAAGATGCCTTCAACCCGCTCTTTCTTCCTAATCCTGATTAAACAAAGATTACTAGATCGACTAATATAACCCGGGACATGTAAAGCTATCCACCAGTGAGTGATTTAAGCATTTGGTTTTAAACCGATGAGTAGTAAATCCTAACCATGCTCTACCCACTGGCCTCTAATAAGCTGCTTAGTATCGTAAGCGCAAACACAACAGCTATAGATAACCACATATTGCATCCAGTTAATAAATGCATACCCACTTTTTGTCCAGACCAACCTGAAAATAGAATAACAGTGAAAAACAATTTGAAGGAGAAAAATATTCAGTGATGGACAGCTAGTTTCCGACGGGAGTTGACTTCGTCGTCAAAAAGGAAGACATAAAAATGGCGTACTCTTACCTACCGTGGAGACAATAACCGACTAAAGTAACGGAGGTACTAGGTAGTGTATGGGAATCAGAGGTAGTCTTGTCAGACTGCTCTACTCCACTGATCATACCAGTCTTCACGAAGGAAGAAAAGTCTTCCTGTGACAACCATAGGCTAATTAGTTTAACTAACACCATGTGCAAGGTCCTACGGTCTATAGTTATCCAACGCCTAACCTTGGCTGGAGAACAGTAGACTCGAGGAAACCAGACAGGTTTAAGACTTGAATGAAGATGCATCGATGACATTTCCATCGTTCGACACGCTAGGGAACACAAGCATACCATACTTACCGATGGTCGACATTTGCCACATTTCTTGACCTGAAGACGTCATCTGACTCCAACCATCATGAGGTGTTGTGGCAGTGTCTTGCTGTGAAGGGAGAACCGAGGAAGTAGATGACGCAAATCAAGGATACTCAAACTCATGCAGCTATTAAGGGCTTATGGAGAGTTGATGTCAGAATCGACGACAATTAATGATGCTCGCCAAGGATGCCCACCGTCACCGTTCCTGTTTAACTTCGTCATAGACGTATTAATAGACATAACTTAAGGTACGTCTGACTTCACAGGATTTGGTCTACTCCCTGTAGGTCACCTGGTTGACTTGGAGTACGTAGACGTTGTTGGGCTAGGTGAAGACGCTCACGAAATCCAGGGTTTGCTGAACGCACTGAACAGAAATACGAATGTGTTTGGTATTTACTTCGCACCTGTCAAATGTAAAATGATGATGCATGACCCATCTACTGCAAGTACTCCAGGTCCAATGATACGGAGTGAAGTGGTGGGATATGTCGACCACTTCACTTACTTGGGAAGTTGCATCAGCCCGAATGGCCTGGTTTCTGACGAAATCTCAGCTCGGAATCAGAAGGCCCATTCTACACTTGCCAACTTGCGTCACCTGTTACCTCAACTGGCGAGATACAGGACTACCTGTTAGACATACATACTGCACTATAGTCTATTTTCTTCTGCTGTACGCTTGTGAGACGTGGTCATCGAAAGTGGAAGACAGAAAGCGATTGCAGAGTTTTTATCATAGATGTCTTCGTATTTGGTGGAATTACCATCTGAGCAATGTTGAGGTCAGGTTGACGATGCTAGGCACGAAAGGCAAGTCGATTGACAAGATTGTGAACCTTAGTTGACTGAGATGGCTTGCGCATATGTTGCCCATGCCTAGCCACCGCCAACCTCGACTTACTATGTTGGGGAGGTTGGAAGAGGGCTAGACCAAGACCTTGCATCAGTCTATGAAGTTTCTCACTGTTGGTCTGAGTCATGTACAGAGATGAAGACTACCTATCTGGAGTCACTGAGACCATAGGAATAAACTGTTGCATGGTTAGAACTCGGTCACAATGGAGCAGATGTATTCACTCTTTGATGTCTTTTAAAGCTTGAATAATTTCAGATAGATTTTATTTTCAAATTCGCTGCCATATACTTTCGTTTACTTTAATATCAGCCTCTTTCTATCCATGCTAGTGTGGCAACTTGGACCGATGCATTTGTGTACGAGGTTCTACGATGACTTCATCGGCCTGTTTGTATATCACGCTGAAATGTGGGTACACATACATCAACTTCAGTTACTTGTTAAAAGCCATCCCTGAAAATGGCAAGGTTGTAATCATATCCTCAACTAACGAAAACAGTTATTGCAACATGTACACGGTTTATAAATCAGTCCTAAAAACGATAATAAGATGTACTCAGTAATTTGTATTAGTTACATAATCTGTTAGTGAAAACACTGAATAAATATGTACATTACAGTGGAGAATGCTAAGTAAAATATGATAAGAAACATACAAAACCTTGAGTAGTTCACTAAGTGAGGTAGATAACAGGAGAGACGGGAAAACGGGAAGTTACATTTAATACATATGTACAGAAAACACTTATTGGGAAAATTAAGGATTTATTGCCAGTAAAGTACGAGAAAATTAAGTCAGGAGAGTGGAAAGTGCTTCGAAAAGCTTCAACATATCTTCTTTATGAAGCTCAATACCTAAAGAAATCAGTAACAAAACAAACGGTTGTATTAACTTACAGTTAGTACTGAAGTATTTAAATTCAGCACGTGCTTTAGTACGACTTATAGCAGCTTCAAAAGCTTGGCCGAATAAACTAGGTGGGATGTTGATTATATTTACATCAAAAGCTTACTTTCGATCATCATCTCCGTGAATTGGAGGAATTCCCAAAAGGGAAATATAATTTTCATCTGTTTTACTGTCTACACAGACAATTAAAGGCATTTGAACAACTCTCCTCCCATGACCCTTTTCGAAAGAAAAAAAAACATTTGTTGAACAACTGAATTAATATGCCTACCAATTTTGCTCTCATTGATGCTTTGGCCATAAGAATGTATTTCGACAAAATTGCCAAGGATTGACTATTTCTCAGTGCATGCGTAACCAGAGAGCTCTAAAAGCAACAAAATTTGTACGTTTTCATGTTAACTTTTACAATATATGAGTGGAAGACACTAAGCTTCAGACGAGTAATCGATGTACACAGTCTAACAATTCATGTCCGTCAGTCAATTTCAACAAAAAACTTAACAATACTACCGCACTCAGATAAAGTGTAGACGATTAAACAAGAAAGTGTTCAAAAGTGAGAAAAAAGTAAGAAGAAAACAAAAAGGTATGGAGCAGTAATGAAATTCAGTATGATGATAACGGTGAAGATAACATATGGGTGGAACTGTACCACTGGGATCAGTTGAGTCATATTGCAAGTCATATTTCCGACTATTAATTCCGGTTGTTATGAAGACGTCAACCAGGAAGTCTACATTTAACCAAAAGCCTCAGACCAACAGTCCTAGACTTCATAGACTGAAACCGTGCTTTACTTTCGCCATACTAAACTCTTTTCCAGTTTTAACACACTTCAGCTACTATTGAATGGTGAGGTAGATGGTGGACTAGGTATGCGTAACACACGTTCATAAGTTCTGCTCCAAAACGTCACCTAGTATATAATATTATATCATACTGTGCGGAATTACAACCTACCAGCGCCCAAATCCTATACTTACAACAATTCAGTTCAACTATATAGTCAAAAATATTAGATGAAACTAATAGACATACGACTTAGGCTCAAAATATTAAAAACTCAAACTGTTAACGCCCAATGTATTTCCGTATAACGAATAGTATGATCTTGTTGCTGACTTCTTAATTGATTAGATGAAAGCAGGACTTGTTTCACTGTCTGACTGTATATAGATGAGTCAACTATCGAAAAAAACGACAAACATTTCAAGGTATAAAGAACCTATTTTAATATAAGCTGAAACTGGAAATTGATACATCACACGGCAAACGGAACTCATCATGTAAATTTAAAAAGCAAATAAAATGAGGTTGATATCTATCAAAATAAAACCCACCTTTCTAATATATACATATAAAAAAGGCCCAAATGCAACCACATCATCTGTATCTAAAAGACTTCGGACTTGATTAGCTAAACTCTGGAGATGAATTTCTGCCTGGTGAATTTCTTGATCGAGCGACGGTGAATTCCAACTAAAATATAAAATCAAACAAATTGAAATTCACATGACTTTGCCACAAAGTAGAAACGAGAGAAACAAAAAGATTGTGAATTTTCAGACAACTAAAATTCCAAAAACGAAGAAATACAAGCTTGGTAATAAATATAACTATCTGTACAGGACAATAGAAATGAGAGATATTAGGGTTAGACATAAGAATAGAGAAGGAGAAGGTAGAAATTTACTCAGCGACCTTGTGCACATTCGTGTAGTAGGCAATGAGTTGAACCTACCTGGCTACCGAGACTTCGGTAGGGAGAGTGAGGTTTGGACCTATGAACCATCGGCTTAAAATTGAATGCCTAGACTACTGAGCCACAATTGTGCATGGAAGATCACTCAAACCTAGTATATCAACGATCAATTAGTCATTTATTTATCGATGATAACGTCTATCGTTGTATTAAATGATCTAAAAAGTCTATGAGCCATCAGACATTTCTTTTGAGTGGAGCATACGAAGATGTCAGTGTTGCACCAAGTTTGCGTTGAAACAAATGAATAGTAAAATTACAATTATTTCTTTATTTTAACGGCGTTTCTGCTCTAAGTAGCGCCACTTAAGTTTTTTTACGGTAGTGACTTATCTTTGCAGACTGAAATATAGGAGTTATTACAATACTGATAAACTTGGACTAAAGAAGACTGTTTTGAATATCTAATTTTATACAAGGATGATGAGGAAACGTTTACAAAAGTTTAGATAATGACGGTATTCAAGAGAATAGAATCCGAAAGACATGTGATTGGATCTTTTTGCAGATCACACTCAGGAAAGTTAGTCGCTGGAAGATAACGGTCATATCCTTCAGTTAACTGATTACCTATGTCTACAACATGTCACGTTTGTCCAAATCACGAAGAATCGTAATACCACCGGTAGGTTATGGATTAAATAGATGACTACCTAAGATAAACTACGACAACATACATCATTATTTAACACACCGATAATCAATAATAAAAACATCACTTAATGCTAACTTACAAGAATAACATAAATACTTTTTTCCTTTATATTAACTATACTAAAACAGTACGTTTAGAGACAACAAAACTGTATTGTCTGTTCAGCTGAAGGATGGTATCTGCAAGTATGAGCAGAGGTGCACTCTAAACAAACAGTCTTCTACATGAACAGGTCGAGTTGAAATGCACTCAGCAACCTTTTAACATTCCTCTAATAGGTAATGATCCAGGCCTATCGTGTGACAGCTAATTATACTACCCAGCTGCCCAAACCTTCATAGGTGGAGCGGGATTCAAGGCCGTGACCCACTGGTTGAAAGTCATTTCCCTAAACCAATAGGTTACAGATCCATAGATGAACAAATAAATATACATTAACAAAATGAGGCCTGACAACAGTAAGTAGCGGTTCTATCTGCATAATGAACACACTCCCCCCCCCGCTAACATTCACCACGTGAATGCCGATATTCAAAGTTGAAATAGTGCTGCCTAGATAGGTGAAAGAGGCTAATTCTTTTAAGTTTCTCCCGTTGATGGTGGTTGACTGGAGCTTGTTGTTGTTGTTGGAGTTGTTGGTGCGGTATCTTCATCACCTCTATCTTCTCTATATTCACTTGAAGTCCTGTCTTCTCTGCCTCTTCTGTCAACTTGTTAGTTTTCGCCTGCAGATCTTCAAGTTTGTGTGACATTAGACATAAATCATCATCGTTGGCGAAATCCAGATCTTCTAGGTTCTTTTCCGCAGTCCAGCGTATCTCCCTCTTCTCGCTCCTCATTTTTTGTTGCATGATCCAGTCCACTACAATCAGGAATATCATGGGTGATAGTAGACAGCCTTTTTTTACTCCTTCCTGTCTTCACTTCAAAGGCATCACTGAGCTTCCCATTGTGAATTACTTGGGATGTGGCGTCTTCATATAGCTATTGAATGAGAATGATATAGGTTTGTGGTATTCCGTATTGTTAGAGCAGTTTCCAAATTACTTGTCGGTCGACGCTGTCAAAGGCCTTTTCAAAGTCGATGAAGTTGAAGTAGAGAGTTGACTACCATTCTATGCTCTGTTACATGATATGTAACGTTGCAATTTGATCCGCACATGATTTGTACTTCCTGAATCCAGCCAGCCTGTTCCGGTCATATTTTTGAATCCAGCGCATCCTTTAGTCTCTCCAGGATGATGCGGCTTAATATTTTGCTTGCACTGGGTGGACAGGAGCGTGATTCCGCACCTTCAAGTCAATTACCACAATTAATTTCCACAGCATTTATATTAGTTTCTCAAAATGGGGACTTTTTAAACAGATGGTGAAACGTAGAAGACGACTAAGTTTGCAACGGTTTGTATGCGTTTTGAGAACGAATATAATAACAATAAATACAGAATTTAATTATAAAACAAAGTCAAAGTTTATCTACTCCATAGATATCAAATGTATTTGACTGATTCATAAAATAATCACTCCAGAACTACTAAATTTATAAATATCCCAAGAAAAGATTTGGGAGACAGAACATAGTTTTACATACTACATAAGCTGGTGGTTACGAAACTAGATTTGTTCCTGGAGAGCGTTACTGTAGCTTCGTCCCTAAACTTGAGAGATGTCTCATCAGTTTCACTGGTAGTACGAAACGATAAGATTAATTTAGCGATGTTTATCATTGTAAGTAACCATAGACAATGCATTTGAGATTCTTCTCGAGCACTATTCCGGAAATACTTAGTACAAACTGCAGGTCATTACCGAAGAAAGTTGATTACCCTTCAGTCACTCTTATCCACAAAAGTTTATCGGAATACGGGTGTAATAATGCTACAGGAAACATGGCTTTATCGCCCGTATGATGACAATTTAGTTTGAAAAAAAGTGGTTTCAGATTATTTCGACAAGATTGAAGCTTTCCCAAGAAGAAATGTGGTAGGGGTGTAGCAACATTCATTAATACAAACTGGTGCACCTCCAGCTATGTATACTTTAACTTCTCTAACCAAAAAATTGGGTGCATTACCATTAAATGTCGTCCTAAAAATATAAGTAAATACAAACACATAAATAACAAGCCTAACTGTGGTTTCACTGATTTGTCAACTTTTGCTGACGAATTCACTGAATTTGCTGCTCCGATTCTGGGTAACTCTTTGTTTATAGTCTGTGGAGATTTTAACTCATGTGACTAGTTTTCTTGTATTACTGGGTCATGAAAATACGATTAACTTTTCTACCCGCCTTAACAAGACCCTAGATTTAGTATTTACAAATCACTTTGACACATATAAAGCCCGTAAATGAGTTCCGCTGCTGAATTCTGACCACCGTGTCGTATGTGTTTTGCCTAAAGTGTATGGCAAATTACACAAGAAGACTTTCGGATATTTTTCCAAAAAAGTCTAGTACAGATGCTATTCACAGGAGAACAGACTACTTTTGAGAAGCATGCTTTAAGAAGCAGACTGAGATATATTTTCTGATAAAGTTTAGACGACACTACTACCAGTATCACAAGCTATCTCAGATTCTGTCTCGATATTTCCTGCCCTGCTGAAACAATCTACATGAGATTTGCTAAACTTTCCTCTCCTCACCTCAAGAGGCTCCGGAGAGAAAAGGAAAGGTTGTATAAGACGAGAGACCACCCTGGCGTTAGAAGACTTAACTGTCTTATTAAGTCTGAAATATAACATCTAAATACTGTATGCAACCAGAAGTTTCTCTTGTGTAAGAACTCTTCCAATATTTGGAAATTATTTACAGAGCTTATTGGTAGAAAACAGATAACAAAAGAAACTTGTTCCGATCTCTCCATGTTGAACAAGTCATTTATACATCTGCAAGCTGATTCAATCCTACTTAGTGTCACTAGTCAAATGAATTGCTGGTTTTCTGGCTTTAATACAAATGATGTATTTAAATGTCTTAAGTCATTGAATTCATCCCAAAGCCTAGGTCCTGATAGTGTTTCAAGTATTATACTCAGGAAACGTGCAGACATTTTATGCCATCCTCTAACAGAAATCTTCAGTGGATTGTTTTCCAAAAATACGATACCCACCGCTTGGAAGGAAATCAAAGTTGTATCTGTGCCTAAGTCATCTTTTGGAGCAAACATTACTTTTCGACCCATCGCTATAATTTCCCCTTTTTAAAAACAATGGAAAAATTACTCCTCCTTGTGTCTGAACCTTCCATTGGAGGTTTTCAGAGATCGAAAACAATTTGCTTACAAACATAGAAGCACTATAGATTCTGTCACTGTCTTGTGTCATAATATGTTTCTAGTCTAGACATAAGTGTTAAGTATGTTCATTTTGGCTTCTTTGATTACTTATCAGCCTTTGACTCTGTTCCTAAACCACTCTTGTTAAATAAGCTTGCCATAGCTCATACTGAGCCATGGGTTACGATGTGGCTGTATTACTCTTCTGGAAGAAAACAGTATACTGTCTATAAAGGGACATACTCCACTTCATTGCTTACTAAAGCTAGTGTGCCTCAAGGTCCTGCACTTTCTCCATTTCTGTTCTCGTTTTTTTTGCATGATTTATATTATTCTATTGAAAATAATTTTATTAAGTATGCTGGTGACTTGACGGTTTCTATTCCGCTTAACTCTCATTTAGATTGCTCTGAATTAAATGGATTCTTGTCTGTAACTGACCAATGGTCTCTCTCACATGGTCTCAAGTTAAAGCCTTCTAAATATCAGGCTGTTAATTTTGGCCTCAGGCGTAAACAAGATTTGTGTGGGCTGCTTAAGTTCCATGACACCTGCTGCATTGATGGTATTTCTGCAGAAAGTAAATCGAGTGCTAACTATCTTGCATTGAGCTTTACTTCTAATCTTTGCTGCTCGTCTCACATCTTTTCGACGTGTAAAAAAATCTTTCGTTTAACGTATTACATAAAGAAACTGAGGCTCTGGTATGACTCAACCTCCACTTTTACAATTTATTAATTCTTGCGTTTTATCTATTCTTCTTTATTGTTCTCCGTTGATCTTTCTTGGCCTACTAATAAGCGACTATGTATATTGCGTAGGGTTTTGAAAGCCATCAGTAGGGTGAGTACTGTGCCTCTGGCTCAAATGATTACCACTAGTCGACGACATTTAAATTCTAGCAAGGAACTAGCTACAGTAGTCTTAACTGATATTGAGCATCCACTTTATTCGCAGCTCTCTGCTTGTATCTACCCAGGGAGGACAAGAAGGAATTACATGCCGAAAAATTCCAAATTGTACCACAAAGTGTCAGTAATAAAGTGAATTATTATTATTATTATTATTATTATTATTATTATTATTATTATTATTATTATTGCATGAGACTGTACGTTCGTACAGCTAAGTACAAGAATTCGAATGTACCTTAAGCCTTGCACGCATATTCAGTGAGGGAAGGTGTTAGAACGGAACTCATTTATCAAATTTGTAACAGTAAATAATCCGTTTATAATAATTTAATCGACAAAGTAAAATTTTCTTGTCATTAATATTTTTACATTACTTAAATCTTCATATATATATATATATATATATATATATATATATATATTCTTGCTGTTACAATGTATCCCAAAGCGTACCAAAAATCATTCGGAATAAAGTGGTTATTATTATTATTATTATTATTATTATTATTATTATTATTATTATTATTATTATTAATAATCAGTTCAAATTAGCATCAATCTAGGCTTTTTCAAAAGCTTCTAGTGAATTCAATAAAATAATGGTTCGTTGCAATCAAAGAACTGAAGCTCGCTGGTTCGGATATTGAAGATGAAATTCTACTGTTTAGTCGATTATATGAATTGATAAAATCCAATACCAATTTAAATTCATTAACATGTAGATAACTAAGAGAGCATACCTATGTTCATTTCACAAATAACGCTTTCTGTAGCAAAATTTTGAAATAGAAATGGTCTTCTTTATGTGCTACGTCAAACAAACGCTTAGTTGCATAAATATTTTATCCTTCATTGTGCCGAAGTCAAGACAGGCGAAAGACGTGGGTAGTCAAAAAACGTTGAGATTCATTCATGAAGTCTCTGACTACTGATATAAGTCATCTAGGATGCTTTGGACTACCTGTTTTGGATTCTTGAGAGGTCGGCAAACAATGTACAGGAACTCGCACTGATAATGCTCACAACTGATCATAGGGTCCAGTTAAGACAACTAATTTTGGAGCGCTTGAAGCACTGCCTAGGAACTCGAACGAATAAAGCAGCAGGTTGGACAGGATGTTTCTCACTACTTTGATGCCTAATAAATACTACCTATTGGGAAATTGATTTAGGTACCTAACCTTCAACAATTTCCAATCCCGCTTCATACACAAGTCTGGTGACATAATATTACTAACCCGCACAAAATACACTTGGCTGATTCCCCAATGTTCGAACATGCATGTAGTTGTTAGGTGCATTTTTTCGACCCCCAAATAAACCAGTGAAGTATTCATAATGGGTTTCAAAGATAAAAACAGTGTTATTTAGTCACCCTAAGATAATAGTAAAGACGAGAAATTACTTTTCTGGTCTAAAGAGAACTGCAACAATCACCTGTTTTAAAAAAACCTCAAAAAACTGATTTTTAAAATCTGGAACCTCAACATACCATGCTACTGCATCCAACGCTGATTGAAAGTTTTCTATCGGACAACCACTGTTCTAAAAAAAATAAGAGCAGAGTAGTGAACTGATGAAATAAATTGCTTATTGATGAGAATACTGACCACCTATAGTGGAGAATTCTGTGCATTCAACGATTTGGTGATTGGAGGCACTGTGTTCAAGCACAAGGATATCCACAAAGAGACATGGATTTCACCAGACACCAGGACACATTAAAAATCAGATCGACTTCATCTCAATCTCAAGAAAGTGGAGACGCAGTCTACTTGACATAAGGTCAATAAAGAGGAGCAGACGTATGCTCAGACCACTCATTATCTAGTGCAAGGAACCTTCCAAATCAAGTTAAAAGCCTTCAAGGAAGCTGCTGATAGACCACAGTTCAAGTTCAACACCCAGATCAGAAACTGAAGGACGAAACTACAAAGGACATCTTCACGGCAGCCAGTCATCAAGACAAAATGGGAGATATCAAGCAACATCCCTGAAGAAACCTGAGTGGAAGAACACTGGGGGTCTTTGAAAGAGATGTGGAAAGAAACCTGCATAACCGTATTAGGAAGGAAGAAGAAAGAAGATAAGGAATGGACCACGGAATGGACACACGGAAGCTGATTTTGGAGAGAAAGGAAGATGGTGAAGCAGAAGATAAACCAGTGCAAAGATGAACGACGAGAAGAGGAACAGAATACAACCTATAAAACACTGGACAAAGAAATGACAGCGTCGACCGACAAGTAATTTGGAAACTGCTCTAACAATACGGAATACCACAAACCTATATCATTCTCATTCAATAGCTATATGAAGACGCCACATCCCAAGTAATTCACAATGGGAAGCTCAGTGATGCCTTTGAAGTGAAGACAGGAAGGAGTAAAAAAAGGCTGTCTACTATCACCCATGATATTCCTGATTGTAGTGGACTGGATCATGCAACAAAAAATGAGGAGCGAGAAGAGGGAGATACGCTGGACTGCGGAAAAGAACCTAGAAGATCTGGATTTCGCCAACGATGATGATTTATGTCTAATGTCACACAAACTTGAAGATCTGCAGGCGAAAACTAACAAGTTGACAGAAGAGGCAGAGAAGACAGGACTTCAAGTGAATATAGAGAAGATAGAGGTGATGAAGATACCGCACCAACAACTCCAACAACAACAACAAGCTCCAGTCAACCACCATCAACGGGAGAAACTTAAAAGAATTAGCCTCTTTCACCTATCTAGGCAGCACTGTTTCAACTACAGGCGGCAGAGACGAGGATGTCAAAGTCAGAATCGGAAAAGCAAGACAGGCATTCATTAGCCTGAAACCAGTGTGGAGATCTTTTGCACTCAGCATGTGGAACAAGATCCGGATTTTCAACACCAAGTCAGTCAAGTCAGTGCTTCTGTATGGTTGAGAGACTTGGCGCGTTACGAAAAGCATTCCCAACAAACTACAGACATTTACTAACAATTGCTTACGCTCACTACTGAAGATCAGATGGCCAGAAAGAATAAGCAACAAGGAACTCTGGCCTGCCAACGAACCAACCAAGAACCCTATCACCCAACAAATATCCAGAAGGAAGTGGAGATGGATTGGGCATACACTGAGAAGGCCGGCTGGGGATATCACGCATCAGGCCCTTGAGTGGAACCCCCATGGGAAGCGACGAGTTGGACGTCCGAGGGTGACATGGAGGAGATCGTGCAAGGAGGAAATGAGAGCTTCTGGGCTATCCTGGAGCCAGGTTCAAAAGATTTCAGAGGACAGAGTGGACTGAAGCCGTATGTTCCACTAGGAACCCAAATGACAAATAATGATAACAATAATAATGATAATAGTGGAGTAAAAGCTAAATGACAAAATTAACTTGTTGAAGGATATAAGTGGCTAAAACGCTCCCAATCACCAGCAAGAAGTATTTATGAATAGATTTAGAAGATTGGATGGTTTCTTTACTAAATCACTGCTTTATAAGGATCAGTTGTTCTGGATTGGTTTAACACTTTTTAAACGATGCAAAAAATAGTACAACCTGAGTTAAAAATAAAAACGTCAGTGAAAAAATATGCCCCCGATATGTTGAAGAATTGTCTAGATTTTTATATAGCTAGACAGTTGACACTGACACTTATATAGGATCTGTGCTAACTACCTCATGTCAAAACTATTACTAAAACTGCAACTATTCAGTAGAAAAACTGTTGAGCACTTTATGATACACTAGTTTGCTGTCTTCACCTGATTCACTTCATGTTTCTTCAATTGGCGGTTTTCTTATTTCACATCACTGAAAAGCGCTACAGATAAAACTACATAGGTTTTTATATAGTCTTGTTTGAATTGAGAAATATTGGACGAGAGTTTGTGATTTACAAGCTATTCCATCAATTCTTGATTAGTATTCACCCTGAGAGCCGTGATGAATGCGTCAGCGAATGTATACATATAACAGGATAAAACTCTTCATAGAACGTAGATAATACGATAATCGCAGCAGTACCACGCTATCATCATGGTATACTGATAACCGTCAAAGTTAAATTTGAAATTCTAAAACACTATGAAGTCACTGAATCAGATGAACACTGCATCACTGAACAGCCAATGAAAGTAAATCAAGCAGAATGCCAATATAAATAAGTGGTAGGCATACTCAATTCTTTAATATTTATCTCCATCAACTATTACAACAAATACCCAGGTTAATTTAGAAAGGAAATCATATTGCGATTAATTGAATACTCTGGGAAAGCATAATCAATAGATGATAAACATAAGCCTGTCTTCGACTGAAAATAAGGGATCCAAAAGGCAACTCAGCAATCACGCCCGTGTTTGTTTGGTAGGTAATAAGCTATATGTATTGTGTGTATGTGGGTTAATGATATTACCTGGTTGCTCAAAACTTGGTGGTTGGAGCAGTGTTCGAATCCCAAAACCACTGATATGAAGTCGAGAACCTAGACCGATGAGCCACAGCTCCGCAATATATATATATATATATATATATATATATATATATATATATATATATATATATATATATATATATAATCACCATTTTAGTACTTTCAGAAAGATAGGTTATCCGTTCTTGTTAGTGAATTACTGTTGTTGTGGATTTTACAGCTAGATGGATAGCCTAACTGTTCACATACGTCATGTAGCAAAGTATTTAAGCTACCAGGTTTTTGGTGCAATTACATAACTGATTTTATTGGGAACCAAAGAAAGATGAGTGGACATAAATTTCAAGAAACATAAGCAAGCGGAATTTCGAGAAAAGCAGCTTCACAATGCATACAGTATGATTGGCTACACTACATTTACAAGGGTAATTTAGTAATAAGTACCTCTATATTTCCCTGTGTAGACTTTTACCATTGGAATCCCACCAAACCAGATCTATTATTCTTTTTTCGCTTGGGCTTCAGTAGCACGTCTCCATTCCACTCTGTTCTCTGGAGTCTTTTCAACCTGCCTCCACGACTGCCCAGAAGATTTCATTTCTTCTTCATATGATCTCGTCCAAGTGACCCTCTTCTCGGACGCCCAACTCGTCGTTTCCCTTTTGGGTTCCACTTGAGGGTCTAGTCTGACGCGTGATGTCCCCAAACCGTCTTCTCAGTCTATGTTCAATCCAATCCATCTCTACTTTCTTCTGCATATTTGTTGGGTGATAGGTTCTTGGTTAAATCGGCACCAGTCAGAGTTCCTTGCTGCTTATTCTATCTGACTATCTGATCTTCAGTATCGAGTGTAGGCAGCTGTTGACGTATGTCTGCAGTTCGTTGAAAATGCTTTTCATAACGCGCCAAGTCTCTCGACCATCACATAGAAGCACTGACTTGACTGACATTGGTGTTGAAAATCCGGATCTTATTCACTCCTTATGCTGAGTGCAGTAGATCTCCACACTGGTTTCAGATTAATGAGAGCCTGTCTTGCTTTTCCGATCCTCCCTTTGATGTCCTCATCTGTGACGCCGACTGTAGTTGAAACGACACTGCCTAGGTTGGTAGGTGAAAGAAACAACTTCCTTTAGGCTTCTCCCGTTCATGGTGATCGATGCTTGTTGTTGATACTGTTGTTGTCTAGGTATCTTCATCACCTCTGTCTTCTCTACGTTCACTTCAAGAAAGTCTCGTCTTCGTCGCCTCTTCTGTCAACTTGTTGGTTTCTGCCCGTAGATCTTCGAGCTTCTGCGATATTAGACACAAATCATCATTAGCGGCGAAATCCAAATCTTCTAAGGCCTTTTCATCGGTCAAACAGCGTATGCCCGTCTTCTCACAGCTCCTCACAGTTTCTTGCATAATCAAGTCAACCACAATCGGGAAGATCATCTGTGATAGTAGGCAGCCTTGTCTTACTTCTGTCTTCACTTTAAAGGCACCACTAAGCTTTCCACTGTGAATTATTCGGCATGTGGCGTCTTCATATTGCTGTTGAGTGAGATTGATAAAGGTTTATGGTACTCCGTAGTGTTGAAGCAGTCGCCAAATTACTTCTCAGTCGACGCTGTCGAAGGTCTCTTCAAAGTCGATGAAGTTGCGGCGAAGAGTTGACTGGCATTTTATGCTCTGTTCTGTGATTATGTGTAGCGTCGCAATTTGATCCGCACACGAATTGTTTTTCCTGAATCCAGATAGCCTGTTCCAGTCGTAATTTTGAATCCTGCGCATCTTTTAGTCTCTCCAGGATAAGGCAGCGTAGATTAGTATTTTGCTTCAGGTGGATAGCAGCATGATTCCACGCCAGTTCTTTTTCTTGCAAAGACTTAGGTCACCCTTCTTTGGGAGTTTGACAAGGTACTCCCTCTCCCAATCGGAACGTATCTTTCCTTCCTTCCAAATCTTCTGCGCTAGTGGTATGAGCGCATTCACTGTTGCCTCTGCGTCTGTTTTCAGTGCTTCTGGCGGAATTCAGTCCGGTCCTGCTGCTCTCCCGGATTTCAGCGGCCTTATGGAGTTCAGAACTCCGGCTTTTGTCGTAGGTTTTGTGTTCACTGGTAGTTCTGTGGCTGCAGGTGATATTTCTGGACGAGTTGCAGGCGGTGGCGGTGGTAGTCGACTCAAGAGTTTTTCGAACTGGTCAGCTTCCATGTGTCCATGGAGATTCATTGCTTGTCTTCTTTTTTCTTCCTTCCTAACACGGTTATGCGGGTTTCCTTCCACGTCTCTTTCCAAGAGTTCCAGTGTTCTTCTACACAGGTTTCCTCGGGGATGTCGCCCAGTGTCTTCCATTGTGTCCTGATGACTGATGTGAAAATTTCCATTGTAGTCTCGTCCTTAAACCAGATCTATAAGATGGATTTTTTAAGTTGTAGGAAGTCAAAATTTAAAGTGAATTCTTCAACTGGGCCACAATTTTCTAGTTGTTTAATAAAGTTTGTTAGTTGTAGTGTGCATTACTGACTGGCAGCTGATGAATCACAGGTCATAGTCTCAGTATAATTTCATCGAATCAAGCAGACAAGCTTCACTGAGTTTACATACTTTAGGTTTATGATACTTGTATGTCCCTAACGAATTGTAATGATAATTTTTACTTTTGATGGAACGACGAAGTTGATTATTTTCTGTATTGGTAGCCTTTCCCATTATTGCTGACAACATGTTACGGCACACATTGTGACACTTTGGATAATAACACATCGACAATAAAACAATTTTTGAAAAGTATAACACAAAGTACACATTTACTGGATTGTGAAACAGTTATTACATGATGACAAGGAACACTGCTCGGCTGTACGAATCAGAGTGCTTCGAGGCAAGCTCCAAACCAATTCCTGAACGGCTATTAAATGAGCATTTTAGTCATTTGACCAAATATACCATTTCTTTAAAAAACCACCTACGACACAGAATGAAATATTGTGTCTGCATAAGTTTTGTTAGTGATAATTCGCCTGCTTCATAGAATGGCAACAGTACGAAGACACAATGGGAAATTAACAAATACACTAATAAATCAATATTCAGTCACTGATATCCTGTGTATGAAAAAACATGAATGTAGAAATATTCTTAAAAAACACGTCTATTTGTTGAAAATGGTATCAACCTACAGAAGCGTAGAGTAAAAGAGTGTGGGGAAAATGGTATGCATAGAAATAATTTGAAAAAGGAACAAGAAAAAGATAAACTTCACACTGCATGAATGATAGAATAATTTCAAAGGGGTTTCCTAACAATGATTTGAAAAAAGTCTTATTCGTAATTAAGAAAGTTTAAAGTTCAAATGTTGGATGCATCTTTTTTTAGGTAATATTATGGAACTTACATAACACTCTAAGGCAGATATAGTTAGAAATACAGCATCAACCGCAGACATAGGTGTTCGGTATCCCAAATGAACAATGAATGACGGGAGGAATAAGTCTGTTCGTGAAAGGCTACAGATAGAATGTAATGCAATATATATAAAGTTATATTCATTTTTGAGAGTTTTTCCATAAATTATTATAACTACATTCAAAGAAATAATGACATCCTTTTTGTAACAAATAAAAAATTTCCAAATGATGTGGAAGAAGATTTCCAAAATATCAAAGTATATCACTTGTTACACGCTTTTGCATCTGTAACGACCTATGTAGTTATAGTTTCTTGTATATTCTGAAAAGTTATATTGTCTCATTGTAAAGAAGAAACGGTAGAGATCATTTCATCGAACACAGACTAAATCACTTTTGCAACATCTAAACTTGATTTTGCTCTTCACAGCTAAATTCCTTAATAAATTCATTCATCGTAACTAAGTGGGAAGAATGAAGTCAGCTATCCACAGTTTCGGATACTGGTTAAAAATTACTGAACAGATATCCTCAAACATCAAAATCCTCAAAATATACAGAATTCACTTCTTGATTGATACTGATGAAATCACAGTGTAGTGGGCGTTGCTGATAAGAATGGATATAAGTAGTATCTGTTGAGAGGGTGGCAGAAATCATAGGGAATTACCAGCAATGGGTAAGGATTCCGCCAAGAGAAACGCAAGAGAAAAGGCAGGCGTATGAAGAGCAAATCAAGAAAGAAGCGGAAAAGGGAATGAAGCACACGGTTTTAGTGCAAGGTGTACCATATTTAACGACTACTGTCCCTCTTGTTGACAATGTACATTTCTTCCTTCCTTCATTCATTCATACCTATCTTCTTGCTTCTTTCAACAGTTGTATGTGCATATCGATTTTGCTGGATTGTTAAATATCACAAATTTCTTGGTAATTGTTGACCTGAAGGCGGTATTTGACTCGGTCGACCATGAGGAGCTGTGACGGTGTCTAACTGTGAAGGGAGTATCGAGCAAGTATATAACGCTTATCAAAGTCCTCTACTCGAACCCACGCAGCCGTGTCAGGGCTTATGAAGAGTTCTTCAAGTGAGTTGACAAAAACTAATAGTGTCCGTCAGGGATGTCCACTGTCACCGTTCTTATTTAACTTCGTCATAGACGTACTAATGGACATAACCCTGTGTACGTTTGACTGGGATTGCTCTACTCCTTGGAGGTCATCTAGTTGGCCAGGAATATGCAGATGATATTTCCGTGCTAGGTAAAGACGCTGACAAAACCCAGGGTCTTCTTGAGCAGAAATCTGTGTATGTTTGGCATGTGTTTCATTGATACCTATTAAATGTAAGATGATGTTCCAGGACTGGTCTCAAATGACTCCCAGCTTAACAATAAAGAGGAAATTGGTGGACCACTTCACTTGATTAGGGACTTGGTTACTGACAAAATCTCAGCTCAATTGCAGTAGGCCTGTTTGGCATTTGCCAACTTATGTTATCTCTGGCGTCGGCGAGATATCCGGCTATCTATCAAAGGACGAGTACACTGCGCTGCAGTTCATTCTGTCTTGAGATATGGTTTTTAAAAGTAGACGACATGGAGCGGTTGCAGGGTTTTGATCACAGATGTTTTTTCAGCATTGCTCGCATGTGATGGAATCACTGCGTAATATTGAGGTCAGGTAAAAGGTACTAGGCAAGACACACAAGTTGAATAATGACGTTGTGAACCTTAGTAGACTGAGATGGCTTGGATATATGTTGCACATGCCGAGCCACCATCTACCTTGATGTGCTACGCTAGGGGAAGTTGGATTAGGATGAAAAAGGGTTCACAGTGGCCAGACCAAGACCTACCAGCAGTCGATGAAGTCCTTGACTGTTGGCTTGAGCCATGCAGGGAAATGTAGACTTCCTGGTCAGGGTCCTCGGGACGAAAGGAATCACCAGTTGAGGACACTTGGTAATATAGCTGAAAATCGGTCACAATAAAGCAGACGTATTCATTCCTTGGCATCTTTTAAAGCCTGAATATTCACACTAACCTTTATCTTCAGATTGTTTATTCTCACACTACTTTATTTACTTTGATATTACTCCTTTTCCATTTTCCTGTACTTTTTGTACTTGAAGTGTGGGAGCGAAGTTCTACGTTGATTTTGTCAGTCAGTCAGTGGTGCGTGTTGATTTCTATTCGAAATGACTAGAAGTTTCTCTTGTAAAGTATATTACATTAAGTGCAACAGCTATAGTAGTTATCTTTTTATATCGCTGTTGCTAATGTTCTGATTTCCTATAGTAGTGCTCAGCTCACCTGACCTCTTTTTAGATCCGTGAAATTAGTTCGGTACTCGACATACTTATACCCCTCAATATTATTTTCAATTAAACGATCGAGCAAGACGACTTGTTGATACGTTCAAATGAACTTTTACAAATGTGAAGAGAAAGAAGGCAACGGGATAAATATTTTGCTGCTTCACTGGTTAACATCAAAATCAATAGCCGAAAATCAGTTATCTCAGTAAAACGCTATGTTCACTGGGAACGTCTTAGTTGTTCCAGATTCAACTGAACCCAAAGAAACAAAAAAGAAGAAAAACAAGAAAGTGGAAGATTGGTTTAATTAATATCATGGTGTAAAGCGTCCATAAAAAAAAACCTGAAGATATGTGTTCGTGATTTCTGCTATTATTGATCCAAGTGGATTTCTGAGCAAAACATTTAAAGGTGAAACGTTCGGCACAGAGTTGATTTTGAGGCATAACTGTAGTTGATATGCAAGTCACAAATGGAATTCAACAGAAAAAAATAGCGAAATTCAATGTCTGGGGTTTTATTGAGTACGTTTATTACAACACAGTCAATAACATAATGCAGGTTGATCACGGTCGATTTCATTAGACTACGGGACATCAAAAAAGCGTTCAAACAAATCCTGGAAGAAAGTCATACAACCTTTACGGGAGGAGGGGATAAGACTATCACAACGAAAATCAACAGTGAGTTATTAAATGGTAACGTAGAAGTTTAAACTTTCAGATTTGATCTGCGCTGCAGTATGGTAAGGATGGCTGCCGAACAGTTCGCTGTTTCAGAGGGCCAATTAGAACAAATTAATTAGTTTCCTCCCCACCTATTTCTTATGTGCATAAAGACAGTATTTGTATGATGTATCAACCTAACATAAATCACTCTCGCAGTCACAGTCCAGTCTTCGCGGTCAACTCAAACCTACTAAAGTTATTGAGGAGAACAGTTGTCGTTCGTATGCATCTGGTACCAATATCTACGCATTTATCAATCCACTCACCTCAAGTTATCTATCAAAAAATCTACCACTTTACAATTATTAATATCTTTAGCGCTAGATATTTCGTCTTCCAGCATTCAAATTCAGTTAAAATATGCTATCATAAGACAAAAACAGTTTATGAATAACTAAATTATTGAAATCCCATTCATGACCTTTTTCAGTGCCATAATTATCGCACTTCAATATAAGAGTAAAACTTGGGCACTGTGGTAGATTGCAATTACATTTTAGTCTGTTTGTTAGTAATGTCACGCAGTGAAACGGTATCATTTAGTGGATAACGTTTCGGACGTAACTTACTGTCCATATTCATTTTTTGATATTCAGATTTTAATCGAATTTAATGACCTCCCGTACCACTCAGGTCCCGTAAAATCTTGTAGATTTTCCAATATACATCAATGTGATGATGCCTGTAAACTGGCTTCACTCATGTTAAAATTACTAACATGAGAATAAAATATTTATTTATTATTACTGTATCATGTAACTCCACAACTTAGAGATATAATTTTCTCTCCTTCTTCACAAATAAGGAGAGAAAATTAGAACTATATAAACTATGTCTTAAAGTTGTGGAGTTACATTATATAAATATGAACAGTAAGTTACGTCCGAAACGTTATCCAGCAAATGTTACTACTTCACTTTGACATTTCTAACAAACAGACTAAGACTTTGAAAATTATCGTTCGTTATCTTAGCTTTCAATAAATTATTCGATACCAATATTTCCTGTCATACTACCGATTATGAGTGGTTTGAAAATGGAACAAGTTCACATAAACGACATTCATTACAATAATAGTATTCACGCTGTAGCAGTTTTAGACACTACGCTTGAAACCACCGACCTCCAAACTTACCGAACAACCTCAGTAATAAGTACTCATCCATCACTATGAGAAAACAGTGGATTCATAGCATCATCACAAAAAAGCAATAAGCACGACGTATATCATTCATTCACAAACTCCATAGTGAAACTAGGAACCTGTATCCAAAAGATTTGGGTAAACTACTAACTAAACTGAAATTTCAGCTTTAAACTACGGATAAAAACTTGAAATTCTCTTCTGTTCCAAAAGAAAACAAACCTTTGTATACAGAAAAAAGATTTGCTGACCATAGTTTCAGAAGTGACCACCTTCAAAAAGAGACATAAGTACTGATTCCACAGCAGTGAACAAGAGACTACTTTTATCTTAGGGTTATTCTCCATCTGGAGTCAATAACAGTAGGATAATCTCTGGAAACTGAGAAATACAATGGTCAGTTGTCAGGAAGTAAGCGATATCATACCATCAAGTCACGACTGCTAGAAGCATTTTGTTAAATTCGCAATACCATTTAGTCAATGACAACATAGAATCTAGTAATACTGTGTAAAAGCCTCAGTTGCTACAGTGGACGTGGAAAATAACTTAGAGTTTCAGCGTATTTTACCTTTTGGTGGATGTTGGTACACCTTTTGCAATCTTTAACTGCAGCGACGATTGATGCAGTTTTGAGCGTCAAAGTAACCGTGAGTTTTCTTATAATCGCAAATAAGTATTGTTGCTAACTGATAACAGATGGAAATTTATCCTAAAGATTTCGCATTGATTTACTACAACTATAGAAAAGCAAACCAAAGAATCGTAGGCACTTAATTCACCTTATTTTCAGTAGCATACATTCAACATTTACCACAGCCAGTTTGCTTATTTTTGAATCGTTAAGTTGAATTCTACAAATTGACACTGTCAAGTTTAATCAATTGGTAGCACTAACACTGAATATGTATGCAAGCTGAAATTATCATCTGAAAAATGCGTCATAAAAGTAAATAACAACATTTCCTCAAAATATCTATGAATGAATGTAGAAACAAAAATAAAACTGACACAGACAACTTACCCATATTTTTCACCATACTGTAAAAACTGCGCATTTAAAGTATCACGTAAACTACTACTCATAGAGGAATACAACTGCGCACATTCGCGTCTTGGAAGTCTGTTAGGTAAAGACCGAAAAAGATAGATAAATATATCCAAAGGGAATAATGTAGGATGTATGCTTAAGTGTTTAAGCATTTGCTTACGAAAAATCTTGAAAGAGGAATTTAAAAACTGGAAAAGATCGCAAATGAAATTTTAAAAATGCTATGCGAAGCTCTATGTTGTTACAACTGTCAATCCCAATTTGACTTTTCCGTCAAATAAATAGTACAGTAAGAGAGAGACTTGGTACTCCCTTTGACTGCGTAAAAAGTTGAGAAGGAAAATAACTTTCAACCACCAGATACAAGGCAATAAAAGAAAGTTAAAATAAAATCAAGTAGGAGGAACTAGGTTTAGAAATATTAGGCGGTGTTCTTGATTTTGAAGTGTAATAAACCTTTTCGACTTGAAAAACTTTGTGAAAAAAATAGTTTTTGCACCACTGACTTTTCAAGTAGATGGCACTTAAATTTTTTTTTAAAAACTTGTTACGTGCATCGGCTCAGCTCAGATAACATTAGTTACATCTAAGTTGACGTTTTTGAAAATACTTCACTTAACTCTCAATCTACCTACTTTGTGAACTGTATGAATACAGGAACCGATTAGCTTTTTTACGTGTTATTATTTGAAATAATGGTCTGTAGCTTAAACTCCTGTAATTTCCTTAATGTTGAGAATTAATTAAGTTAACACAGCTGAGAAAAATAGGATGAATTTTGAGGAAGAGTTCAAACGTTACTATTCAGACTATGAATTTTCTATTATCACCATTAAGTCCCTGTTTCTAATCATCTCCTCCAATTAGTATCTACGCTTAAGAACCATGGCTGTTTCATACATTCTTTGAATGCATCCATGCCTGTGGCTCCAGTGAGCTTGAAGAAAGATTTAATTCAGAAAATCTAAGCAATTTCAGGCATCATAATATGAATCAAACGAATTACACTGACGAAAACTCGACAGATGGAGTACGATTACAACTAGCAGGTTACTGGTTGGTTGAGAAGCCTGTGACAAAACTAATAAGTCACATGTCTAATAGACTTCTTCGAGCTTAATCACAAATATGCATGAGGTTGAAAATTAAACGATAGCAAATGGACAAGAAAGGGATGCTTATTTCTCCACTGAACTCAAGTCTATTGGTCAACTTGGAGTTTTTTTTAGGGAGCAGAATTACTGGAGAAAACGCACAGGTGACTTTTCTTGTAGCATGATAACCTCAAATAAGATCATAGTTCACTCATTACTACTAAGCCTAAAAATAGGACAATCAAATACACTACAGCTAGTCACATTAATGAACAATCAAATAAACATTAGTCGATTGTCATTTTGGTGATAGATTCAAAATACTACACCAACTCATAACGACATCCGTTTACTGTTAATAAGTACCAGGAACTGATAATCCTCGACTAATGATAGGATATATTCCTTAGAATCCGTAGGCCATAGGAAGAAAGTGGCATAACTAACTACAGAAAGACAGGCAGATAGATGGACAAACAAAATCAGTTCAGAACCTCGCACGCAAGTGCATCGATTCAGGTTACCACACTTCATAGTAGTAACTACAGTAAAAGCCTGAATGAATCGCAAAAATAGAACACCTCCGACTAGAACTTTGAAGAAAACTACTCCTAGAAATCGAAAATTGTCTCTTGATAACGTTAGTGGAACCTTTACTGCTGAATCGTTGGAGCTGTAAATTGACACTGTGTGATAAAGTTATGTGTGTGAATTGCTTGTCGGATGGTAACCAATGATGGGCTCTAGTGTAAGGTGTCGATTGATGAATATGACAGGTTTACTTGAACAATGTGGTGTGTATACAGTAAAATACACACTACACAAACTTTACTAATGCCAATAGCGTATTCATGTAAGTTAAAACAACATTTGTACCCAGATTTACTGCAAAAATTATGTTGATTATTAAGGGTTAAATTAACGTACCCCAATTGCACAAGGAATTCATACATACGTCGTTGTCCCCCTTCAGTAAAAAGTTTAAATTTGGATGCTGTAACCATACTGGTTTCCATAGCCTCCTTTAAGCTCCAGTGTCTATAGAGCCATAAGGATAATTCATCTTCAAACATAATTTCAATTCTAGCTTTGTTTTCATCATTAGTACTTGTTCCGGAATGAATCTGGCCAACATGACTCAAACGACTCATATGACTTTGGAGATAGTCTAGTTGGTCAATATAATGTTCACGATTTATAGCATGAGTTATAAGTTGAGAAGTTTGACCAACTATTCCATACCTTCCAAAACACAAAAACAATGTAGTAACCTAATAACACTGAAAAATCCAAAAGTATTGCTGAATATTAATTATATCCATTAAAACTTGTGGATCGTGGAGAGAATCAACTTATTGTAAATATATCTGTGATGAATATTTACACACACTGATGTTATTTAATTTTGGTAATAAATATTTTGGAACAAATACTACCAACAATTGGTGTGATCATGGGTAGTAATTTTGCTCAAAATATTACCAAACTTAAATAGCATCATTGCGTATTCATCACAAATATATTTATAATAAATTGTTGAATAGCTCACAGCGATATTAAGTACATTTATGAAGTTGAAAACGTGATAAATAAACTTCGGGAAGATAGTCATATGAAACGAATTAGAAGGTTCCAACCTACAAGTATTCACTTTGAAGAGTTGTGTCATGACTAAAGCTCTTGATATTTCACAGTTGAATGAGTGCAATTTCGTGGACAGCTACAATAAAGGGCTGAAAACGTCCAGTAAAGAGGTTTGATGTTCCATTTAGTGCAGCTATACTAATTACTCTTAGTCCAAAAGTCGAACAAACTGTTTCAATATCTATCATATTAGAACTGTATATCAATGTGCCGATTTGTAAATCAAATAAATGTTATGTTCAACTGTGATCAGTGGCGAGATGCTACTGTCAGATAAATACCAACACACATTAACTACCAGTTACCAAAACTAAAAACCAATCACAACAGGTAAGTGCAACAACACAATAACACAGAACGCAAATTCATGAAGTCACTGAATATTGATCTGAACTACGTAGGCTGCTTGAGTAGAGACCTCGAGATATCACGAAAGTGGTTGGAAACTGTTAATGATATGATTAAAGATAAACCGCAGTGGTGCAGATGCATTTACTACGTATTGTCTTTGAAATTCTGAACATTTTACCAACTTTTATGATTCACTTTTAGTTTATATGTGATTGTCTTTTCTACTATCACAATTCTTAATTTTATTAACTTCCTTCGTCGGTGGTTGCAGTGTGGCTGATTAAATTAGTGCAGCTCTGTGCAAGGTTTTTAGGTTTCTTTGTTTGCCACATATATAACATACATAACATGTTACTACTAAGTAACCAAATTTAACATTAATGACTTGAGAATTAAGGTGTTGACCAAAATAAAAATATTGAACAATCAATTTCTTCAATAATTAATCACGCCTAAGCCATACCAGACCTAATGCGGATAAGGCAAACGGGAAGAAATCTGAACAGATTTCGTAATAAGTGAAAGGTCGTCAGCAGACCACTGCTAACAATTATTTTGACTGGACATTGCTAAAGACCCATTTATCCCAACTTACTGCACAGTTTTGGTTTTGAATGAAAGAGAAATTCGTGTTAGGAAAATAAACACAGTCAAAGTTACACAGGTATTAAACATATCACTTTGACCATTTGTAGGCATAACAGCTGGCTGATCATCAAACCAAGAAATGAAATTAACCAACGTTATTGACTGCTGAGTTTCCTGGCTGAAGCCAGGATGTGATGACTCGCATCCTTTTTTGGAAAAAACTGAAAAGCATTAACAGTAAGTGCAGCATTAGAGACGTATACATTCTTTATTTTCGTCATAGCCTTAAAATATTCACAACTTTGCAACTATTCATCCTCTGACCACTCATATACATCTTCTGAACGATCTGAATATTTTCGTTGCAAGGTTTTTCCTTCCTTGCAATATACAAAAATATTAACTTAGACTAACACAATAATATGCTCTGACCAATCGCATATCAACAGTAGCTGTCGATATTAACATTCACTTAAATGCACAGGAAGTAACGCAGGAAAATTGATTGCGAAAGCAAAATTTAACTACATGAGTATTTTCAAGTTACCATACGTTGTAAGAGTTGATAACCTAGAGCAATTCGTACCACTCTTTTAAGATTCGGGGTAATACTAGATTTTAGGCGCCTGATCTGGATGCATAGACGGACAAAATACGACTCTCGACAAGTCACTCGGCTAACACAAGACAGCAACGGACTGAAGTTTACTTCAACTAAGAAACCCATCCCCATATGGGTATAGTTAGATGGTCAATATAATGTAGAAATGCTACAAGAGCAAACGCAACTTAGTATATTAAAAGTAAAGCAATAAATAATAAGGGAGTGATGTCATTAAGAGCAACGAAAACAAGCGGTGCATGCGAAGTGATGTTTTACAAATATAAATATAAAAACGCTCATTTCGTAAGGTCCAACATCCTTTAGAGAAATCTGCCTGGAGTGCTAATGAGGAAGTACAGAGAAATATGCGTTTCTGCGAGATGCTCACTTTATTTCGCTAACATAGTAAAGCATCAGTTTCTTAAGATGACTGAAAAACAAGTTTTTCAACAATGGATTAATTTTATTTAGAGTCATAGTAGAGGGCGCATATTTCAAAAACTGAAAATTTAATTACCCTACACACTTGATTTCAGGATTAATCTCTATCGCTTGCCTAAAATTCCTACCCACCTGCCGTTGATGTCACCATTTTCGATTCCTTTCCATTTTCAGACTGTGCTGACCTAAAGCATGACAATTACATCGGCATATGCATGTCAAGGATATGTCCACGAGATTCAAGTACGCCAAGAACTTTTATACATTTAATTGCAAAAATAATTCACCAAATTTTTAAACACAAAGTAAAAACTGTTCTGTATGTGACCTAAAATAGAGACCGTTTATTCTTTGGATAACTGTATTCATCCAAATGACGAGACATTCTAGGAAAGAATAATGCAAGGGAAAAGAGAAACACTAAAGTGCATTACTTGTAGTCTGTTTACCAAACACAATATCCAATTTTTTAGTTCCTATAATTAACAGACGTCTAGGTGGTGAACCAGAGGAAACTAGGCAGATTTCAAATCTGGTCACGAGTCCATCGAGCAGATATTTACTGTGTCAAAAATCATGGAACACAGGCACACTTACCGAATCCAGATACTAGCTGTATTTCTTCACCTCGAGGCGGTATTTAATTTTATCGACTCAGGTCTCTCACTGAAAGGCATGTCGGATAAGTATATCACTCTTTTGAAGGCCCTGTACTCGAACAGACGTGAGCGTGCCAAAGCCAATAGTGAGTTACTGGTTATGTTGGGTCTTCTAACCTAAGCGGTTTAATCATGAAGCCTTCATTCTCTCTATAGAAAACATCAGCACTAATGTCAATATAAAGTGAGCTGTCAGAATTTCTATGTGATTCAGTAGCTTGATCTGACGAAATGGCGTGTAACTGGTAGCTTCTTTTCATTGTTCTGTCATTGACTGCAGAGATTTTCTTGTTGGTCATTTTCCTTCCTGACCTCTGAACTTGTAATTGTTTATCATTTTTCTTAGTTGCTACACCTAGCCTACGTCTATACATCTATCAACTGATGATTGAAAACATTATACACATTAGTTGGACCACAACTGGCTTAGGATCCCGTATTTCCTACTCACTGACGCGAAGTTTTTTAGAACGCACAAAACTTTAGTGGGCAATGACCCACACCTATTGTGTGAGAGCTAGCCACATTACCTGGCTGCCCAAACCTCGACAGGTGGGGCTAGGACCGAACCCATGACCCAATGGTTGGTAGTCGATTCCCTAAACCACTGAGCCACAGCTCCACTATTTTCTATCCTCTCTGGTTGCTAGGTGAATGGTATATTTTGAGTGGTATCCGTGAAGGTTGTTCAACCTTATTTAATTCCATTATAAACGTGCTTAAAGAGGTCTCCATTTTGTCGTCTGGCTTTAAAAGAATTGATCTTGACACATGAAAATTCGTAGTAGATTTACAATATCCAGATGAAATATTCCTGTCAGGTGAAGACGCTGACAAGATGCAGAGTCTCCTAGACACCTTAAGTGGTAATTTGAGAATATTTGGGATGCGTGTCTTGCCACAAATGTATTTTTTAAGACCGGTCTTCACCAGTCTCCCGTCTGACAATGGACAGTGAAGTGGTTGAGTGGGTTGGTCACTTCACTTATCTGGGAAATCGGATCAACTCTGGTGCGTCAGTGACCAACAGAACCTCGTCACGAATAAACAAGGCTCATTTGGCTTCCGCCAACTTATGCCATCTATGGTGCTGCTGTGATATCCGACTGCCTACCAAGGGTCAAGTGTACTGTACTACAGTTCGCTTTGTTCTATTGTATGACTGTGAAACATGGCCACTGAAGATGGAAATGAGAAGCCTTCTACTGTATGACCACCGTTTTCGTCGTAGCATAAGCCATGTGCGAATATGCAACGACATCAGTAAAGTAGAGGTTAGGTGTAGTTTTAGGGAGAAGAAAGAAGTCACTTGATAAGGTTGTGAACTTCCATTAACTCAAGTGGCTGGGACATGTGATACACACGCCCAATCATTGTCTGCCTCGTCGCCCAATGTTAATTTAAGTAGGTTCTCATTGGTAAACATTTAGAGGCAGCTAGACTTATGTATGATATCAGTGTAAGAAGTCTCTGACGGTTCGTCGGAGCCGTGTACGGAAAAGCAGACTTCTTGTTTGGGGTCCACAAGACAAGAGACTCTTGGTCATATGGATCAGTAATGATCTCCATTGTGCAAATATACCTACACATTATCCTCACCTTAACAGACATCATCTCATTCCATGTAGCTTTCTTTTGACAACTTTCTACCACCTTTTATCTTTCATCTAAGTATATTCCCTCTCGATGTGCTGATATAAAGTGTGATAACTTGGGTCGTTACGCAGTAATGCCGAGTTCTGTATCAATACTCCCAGTCTCCGTTTATGGAACGGCTTACTGTTAATCAATTAATGCCAAAAGGTAACTATTATGACCCGAAAACACCAGATAATCAAAGTCCAAACAACCTTGTTCTTCAAGTGCTCGAAAGTAAAGAGTGGGTTTCCATGGTTTAACATCCGCTGAATGGAGTTGACTACTGATAGGCAGACAAAGTCAACGTAAAAACCTGCACAAAAGTTGTCAGCTCAAGTTGTCACACTTTACGACAGCATGTAAAGAGCAAGTGGGTGTAAAAAGTGATCGCAAAGTAGATAAAAGTATATGGAAGAACTTCAAAATGTGTAGGCTAGTGAAAAATGCTTAAACTTACAATGATATAGAAGAGTAAATGCACCTACGTCAGTGGCCATTTTCCACACATCCCACTAAGCGTCTCAAACTACTGGCTCTCATCACCGCGTGGACACCACTCAGACAATTCACACCGCACAGCCTAGACCAACAGTCACAGACTCCATAGACTGGTGCCTCGTCTTGGTCTGGTCAACCAGAACCTCACTCAGTCCTATTTAGCCAAACACCACACATCTAGGTAGGTGGTAGATCGGGATGCTGGATAAGTCCACCTCAGTCGGTATGGCTTCACAACTTCATCGACTGAATCACCTAGTAACCTCTGTCTAACCTTGATGTTGTTCACACCGTGACTATTAGTTGACTACTGGGTCAACTTACGACTGCGACAGCAAGCCACTCACTTTATAAAGCAGTTTTGATTAAGATATAGACTTTAAAATGCTGACGGTCAGGTGAAGATTCCTTTATCAATCACTACTTACAACTGACATGTGAAGAAGCACAGAAGCACTCGTAAATGATTGTAAACCTTGAAGTAATTTGTTACCACACGGAGAATCAACGTAGTTGATAATGACACTAAGCGGTACGCTGAGCGCGTTTAGAATATCATGTGAAGAAGTCCAAAGGATTCACATAAAAACTTTGAAAGCGATGCAACTGCACCTGTACTTTTTCCCCTTTCAAAACAGCTACCTCTCAAAACTGAAGTCTTTATTGATTTAATGGCCATTACGCGATCACATGGACACAAAAGCTAACTATGGTTAATCTCAGATAAAATCCGTCGCTTTTACCTATAAATAAATGCTTATGCGAAAACCACAAATACATACAATGAGAAACACCAAAACCAATATATTTTTGGACAATGAAGATATCACTTCTAATCACATTACAACTACAAATAAAAAGCCATATAAGTGCAAGATGTTTCAAGTTCAAAAATAAACATTATTACTGATAAATAAAATGCATATTTTGGTTAGAATGTAACTACTTACCATAGAAGACAGTTGTTTTCTTGAGACAGCTTCCAAGCCAAATCAAACATGACAACAGATGATGCAACAGTATAGTAGGAAAAACTTTCATAGTCCATCAGAAGTTCTTGTCTCCGCCTGTTCCACCTTCTTTTCTCTATCCTCTTCTCAACATCATCAGGTTGCAGCTTCCTGCCTTGTTGCTCTTCAGAATCCCCATCAGACTCATCACTCTGAAAAATATAGTTCTTATTCATAACTTACCGAAAAATCCTGAAAAACATCCTCAAACCTAGGCACTAAAGTAGTATCTTCGTTGAGACACATGAGTTTAATCTGCCTCTGATTGTAAAAATTGTTGATATGGATGGGACGGTGACTAGGCTATAAGAAGTAAATGCTACGCTCACCTATCGCATACGTAAAATATACACTGCTCTAGAGGATCCAGGTTACCCACAATATCGAAATTAGCCCCGCAATTTATTAATACTACTACTTGGAACTACAGGTTGCAATCAAAAAAATGTTTTCTAAACTCACAAAGTCACGATTCTTCGCGTAAGTCTCTTTTAGGTCTGCTTTATCTCTAACAACCACAAGCGTATACAGTACATTTCTATGTTTCAAAAGTTCCTGAAATCAATGTAAATCTTATCCAAAATTACCACACCTTCAAAATTCTCCAAGTACACAAACCGTCTACATCAGGACAAACGAATACAAGGACTCGCTAGTTTTTCGAAGCATTATAAAACGTGACTTACTTTTCCAACAACCTCGGCATAAAACTCTGATCTCAAATCACGCAAGACCACCATCCCAACAATTGCAACAATTTATGTTGCCTTCATAATAAGCGCTAAAAACTCTGAAAGAAGTATTGACTTGCATCATAGGCACTCTAGCATCCAACATCCAACATCAATAGAGTGAGTAGAGGAAACTTTCAGTTTTTGAGCTCTCGCTTCTAGGTCTTGAGGCTTGGTACGTTTTGTTCGGTTGTACTCCAATATCCAATATTGATAGTGCGAGCGTAGAAAACTGGTAGTTTTTGATCTTTCGCGTCTAGTTCTTAGGGCTTGGTTCCAGTTATTTGGTTTACTCCTGCAGTGGACGAGGAAATCCCCTCTGCTTTCTTGCTTTTAGCTTCGGTGAGGTGGATGTTTTGTGGGTTAGTAGGTTGTAATTTGTAGAGTGATTAGGGAGCTACGGGTTGCTGGGAAGTTTAGAGAACTGCCGTGACTCCTGTCTGTGTAGGTACCTGAAAGAGGATAGTGTACTCCTTCGATGGTCGCAGAGGTCTTTGCGTTTTCGTGCATATAGCTTCGGAGGTCTTGTTTGTCTATTTGAAGGTGTTTTATCTCTGAATTGTAGCTTGTTTTGTTTAGAGGGGGCAGCGAAGCTGCTGATAGGCAGCTGAAAGTGAGTAGTAAGCGTTATTTAAATAGTGATAGAAACGGGGCGGGTGGGGAGTGAGAAAAGGAGAAGTGAGAAGTGCTTTTGAAAAAATACATGTGACTGGTAATAATATAGAGCAGAGGTGTGTCTCACTGCAGATACTGGCGTTGAAAAATACAAGGGGAATACAGGGACGGAAGGGCGTCTCATCGGTTGCTACTAACAAATGTTCTCGGCAAGCTATTTGCGCTCACATACTCATCCAGTAGTCGTTTGAAGGCGTTGACTGATGTAGCTGTGGCCACTTCTTCCGGCAGCGCGTTTCACAAGTCACATACTCTATAGGAGAAGAAGTTAGATCTCACTCCAGTCTTCGCCCTCTGGTGGGGTATGAGAGTGGGGTTCCCACGGGATTGTCGGTTTTGGACCGATAATGTTGTCCTATTTGGGTGGTCCACTTGATGAATGATCTTGTAAGCTGTTACGGTATTACCTAGTTTTCTTCGATAGCTTAGTGTGAACAGGTTGAGTTGTCTGAGGCATTGTGTATATGTTTTGCCTGTTAATCCGACAACCAACTTTATTGTTCTTCTTTGTGCCTTCTCGAGAGGATTTGCGTTTCTCTTTAGAAGAGGAGGGGCTACCGTGTTGAACATCTCTAGGTGTGGTGTAAAGTAGGTTTTGAATGCCATGAGGAATAACTCTGGGGTTAACAATCCAAGTTGCCTTCTTGGAAAGTGCATAATGGCGTTTGCCTTTGCTGCCATCCCCTTATAAATACCATTAGTATCCAGTATGTCAGAGAAGTTTAGTCCTAGGTCCTTCTCTGTGGATACCTTGGTGATTGTGCGCTTGTTAAGAGTGTGGTTGACTCACCGCCTCTGGTATGCGAAGATACATCACCTTGCACCTCTTCAAATTAAAGCTTAAACCGTTTGCAGCTGACTAGGACTCCAGCTGCAGCAGGTCGTTTTGGAGCATTCTAGGATCCTCTTCTTTGCCTATCGTCCTCCACATTTTTAAGTCGTTGGCGAATAGAATAATAAACAAATGATAAATAAATATCTTTATTCTCAAGTTATGCAGCTGACATGAGAGAAGTCAGCTTACAGGCCTCATCAAATTGATAATTGCAGCGAAACAGAAAGTTGTAGCAGTATTGAATGATACAGAGGGAGGACATCGAACTCCATCATGATATCAAGCGTCTAAATGTTATGAAAATAGCAGGAAAATATCACTTTACAGTACATACACATCTTTCTGAGTTCAGGTCATTTCTGCCCACAATTCTTTCTTCACTTCAAACGGCGCAATATTTGGTGTTTGCGTTATGAGTAGTCAACATGATTGACTCATCTACAAGACCAAGTGTTTCGTCAGATAAACGTCTATTTTAACAGCAATTCTTATGTTTGTAGATTTATTGACCAACAGTAGCTTACTTCAATGATTTCAGGATATATGAGGTTTTAGTGGGGAGGTCGTTTATACATAGTAAAAATAGGAGTGGTCCAAAGATCGCTGCTTGAGAAACTCCTGTTCTTACTTTCTTCCAGTTTGATCGAATTCTGTTTACTTTGGTGAAGAATTCTCTAGGTATACTGTCAGCCATGCTAAGAGGGGCTCAGTGATACCCACTTTTACTAGGTTGGCGAGCATAGTGCGGTGTGGCACGCTATCAAAAGCTTTGAACAATTCCAAGAAGACAACGTGAACTTGTTGTTTGTTGTCCCATCTAGTAGTCCAGTCATTCCAAGCGGTCGTCAAGTTTGTGGCACATGACTACCCGGTTCTGAAGCCATGCTAGGTGGGATGGCAATGTTTTTTCTGTTAAGGTCGTCCCAAACAACATCTGAAACCAGACTTTCCAGTAACTTGGAAAGTATGGGGAGCAATGCTATTGGTCTGTAGTTACATTGTTTCTTCCGGTCTCCTCCCTTGAAGATTCGTGAGAGGATGGCGCGTTTCCATTCTTCGGTAAGTCGACTTACTTATAGCGAGTGCGTGAACAGGTTGCACACGGGTATGCTTAGCACTTCAGCACAGTTGCGTAGGACAAACGGTTTTATATCATCAAGGCCTGGGGATTTCCTTATTCTCGGTGTTGAAAGTTTCGCAAACGCTTGGCTTGACAGAATCTTCACGTTCATCGGCTTCGTATCGCAGCCCTGAGACTTCGTCGCATTGCTACACGTTGTTAGCGGATGTATAACTGAGTTGGGTTGCTCGTCAAATCGACTGCTCAGCAATTCCGCTACCTTACTGCCGTTCAAGGGCTCTCTGGCCGGCCCGGTGATCAGCTTTAAGCCCTTATTCGTCGGTTTGCGTTGTGAAATAAACCGATACAGACTTTTCGCGTTACAGCTTGACTGTTCAGCCAGGTTGCTTCGGTATGTATACCTGCCGTTACGAACCCTTATATTACACAAGTTTCGTGAGGTCTTGTGCCTGTGAAGATCTGATTCTTTGCGTGATGTACGCCACAGGTACCATGCCTTCCCTTTTTTCTCTATCTGTCTTTAGGTTGCACGAGTTACCCAAGACCATTCGAGAGGTGGCCGTCTGGTTAATTATCAGACATTCCTTCCGATAGCGCTCCGGATATCTTTAATCTGTGTTCAGTGTTCGTCCATCGATAACCAGTCCCATTCTTGTGGCAGTGCAGCCTTCAGGAATGACATATTCATGGGGTGGTAGTCTGTGTGGCAGGAAAATGATCTGAAAATCCCTCCCGATCACCCTCATTTGATTGTATTGACGTTTATTTTAACATTTTTACCCTCGTTATGGATGGTGTGCCTTTGACACTAGCCGGTGTAATGTTATTTGCTTGTTTGACTGTCTTATTTGACTTTGCACTCAGTATTTGTTCTTGTATGTTTGAGACTTATGAATGTTTCACTTTCCTATCGTGTAACGCTGGACTGTTGACAAGGTGATGTTGTTTTACCACGCCCGACATTTTGTTTTGGTTCAACTTACGGTTGTGCTGTGATTTGACCGTTTGTCTTTTGACTGTCTACTGGGAACGTTTGTTTGTTGATTTGGTTCTTGTAGGCAGAGTTTTGATCCCTTTTGTCGGGAATATTCTTATTGACTGACATGTACTTAACAGTTGTATTTGTTTGACCAGTTTTCACTGTATAGTACGTATTTGCACCCGGGAACGTTTTGGACTGTATAGTTACCCAACGGCACTGTTGAGGTTTTTTTGCAATTTTGATAGTACCACAGATTTTGCTACGAATCTACTATTGAATTACTACAAACCGTGTTTGATGTTTTGATCCAACCTTTGACTGTGCGTCACTCGAGGAAGTTGGTAAGCTATACAGTAGAACGCAGGAAGTAGTCAGATTCACGTCAGTTGGCACCGCCCAGTTATTTCCCTCTTTCAGACCAAGATTATTGGATTCTAGCCGCTACAATCTGGCTAATAAAAGTAGTTTGATCTCTTCTGTCTCAGGTTTTTGGGAGTCGGGACGAGAGCTGGGCTTTCCAGCAGTGCAGATACAGAACCCGATAAATCACCAACGAAGTAGAGATAACTCGTGCTGTTTTTCTCGACAACTTGTCAAAGCTAAGCGCTGGAAAACCCCTAGGGTGCGATGACATTCGCCCCTCTGGGTTGAAAGAATGTGCAAGTACCCCAAGTGGCTCACTCTGCAATCCCTTCCGCCACCCCATGGAGGTACAAATCTTCCGCGAGTATGGAAACGTGTCATCTTTTCCCTTATCTTCAAAGGAGGGGGTGGGCAGAATCCAGAGTGTTATAGACCCATAGCACTTCAACCCGTAATAGCAAAATTTATGTAAAGTGTGATGGACGACCGCATCAGGGAATATCTGGACACAAACTAAGCACTTAGTGACGCCCAACACGGCTTCCAAAAGGGTAAGTCCCATGCCTGCGGCCTTCTGACGACCGGTGGTCACTGGACGGCATGCCGGGATCTCAAGGTCCCGGTCCTCGCGATTTTTCTGGATGCCGCCGAAGCGTTTGAGACTCACATACCATCCCACTACACAAAATAGCTGTATCAGGTATCCGAGGCCGGGTGCTATCGTGGCTGCAGAGCTACTAAGACAGTAGGGAGTTCTGCACAAGAGTCAGCATAGTCTACTCAACTTGGAAGACATTGCCCAGTGTCTCACAAGGAGCAGTCCTGGGTCCACTTTTGTTCCTGCTGTCCGTGAGTGACTTTCCGCCTCATGTCAGCTCTCCGATTCTCCTCTGCGCTGATGACGTTAAGTTACTGAGCGCACTAGCCTGCGAAGCAGAACCGAGGGCATTACGGAACGTCCTCAACGCACCAGAGGAGAGGGCAACAAATAACAAACTGGCGTGTGAACCGTTTCAAGTTTTTCCGCACTCCTGATCTCCAGAAAGTATCCCGCTCTCTCTGCGGTTGGCATTTATCCCGTATCACAGCAGAAAGAGACCTGTGTTTGGCAGCGATGGACAAACTGGGCACCAGTTCCAACTGCCCGGGTGATGCCTTAAAAGCATATGGTG